CAAAAAGGTCTTGATTTCCAAGCCTTTGCTGTGTCTCTTTCCCTCTTTCTCAATGTTTAACCCTGGCTCAGTGATGTGTTTTCACTGCCATCATCTGCTGAGGTTACTGGCCTTCTTCCCCTAGACAAACTGCAGACAAACTTCCAAGATAAATTCCCCAGGATTAAGGACAACGTTGTTGTAAATGCTGCCATATTAACTTCCCTGAACCTCCCTGAGCACAAAGTGGTTTCCCTGCGTGGCTAATGGAGGCAGCACGCTCTAAATACTCACAGAAAGAGAACCAGCACTTTTAACTCACACTAAGTACTCTGTATTTTTAACTGAAGTGAGATTTATGAACAAACTACCTCTATCTAAATGTCTATAAAGCCATTTACATTATTTTGTATAATACATGGGAACAATTTGTCTCTGCTTGTTAATATGTCCATGTATAGAAGTGACAGTGCTCCCACTGTGAGCAGGGACTGCTGAAGTGAGCTGCACACAAACTCCTGGTCAGACAGGATCGGTTGGATCTCTTTGGGCAATAATGTCCAGAACTATTTAGACAATGAACTATATATACCTTGAACTTGCTGACAGGTCCAGCGGGAACAATGCAGAAAGGAAAAGAAAGGTTACAGGTGGTAAGACTCCACTGAGTCTTAGATCACTGTCATGGTCTAATTGACAAGGTGGTTGGTGCTCAGTCAAGGGTTGGACTCGATGATCTCAGAGGTCTTTTCCACCCCCAGTGATTCTGTGACTCTGAGTCACTCTTGTTCACGCTGGGTAAAAGATCTTGGAACCTCATTAATGCAAAGACAACCAAAACTTTGTGATGGAAAACAATTAAAGGAAATCTCAAACCCTTAGCTCTGATAAATGTTTATGGGTTAAACCAGTGGTCTGTGTTAAGCTCCACCTGAAAGCTATGGACACATGGCCTGGGAGCGTGTCTGGAAACTCTGGATTTATGTAGAGGCAATATTCCTGAAGGTCCCGAGGACCTGGGGGCTCTCTGACTCAGTGTACCCTTCCAGTCAGTGTTAAGGAGTTCTCCCTCACTCTCTCTCCCCTCTGTTGAACCAAATTTGTGTTTACACCCCATTTGCTCTCCCTGCCACGCTGTCCATCAGCTGTGCTGAGTGTGGGTTTGGCACACACCCCAAACAGTTTGTTACTTGGCCAGGGTTCCCTGGCACACAGTTTGCTTCCCCACACAGTGACGGGCATGTCTGGCTGATGGGCTCTTTGTCTGGGCCCTTCTGCACATTCAGAGCTGCTCCTTTGTCACCAGCCCAGGCAGCAGATAGCAAAGAGTCATAAATATGCCCTGTTCTTACACCACCAGCTGAGGAGAGAACGAGCTGCTTTGGGATCAACTGGTCCTCTGTGGCTCTTTAACTCCCCAGGTGTTGTCCAACCACACTTATCCTGCAACGGTTCTGTCCATCACTGGCTTTTATGCTTTTGGTATCACCTCCCATGGTTTGTGTTCTCTGAGTGTGCATTTAATATTGAAATGGACAACTCTGATGATTTAGTAGCTTTGGGATGGCAAGTCTGGTATAAGCAGAACTGACAGCTCAGGGTCTGGGCTGGTTTTACAGTTAGAAAAAGGAATTGTTCCCTGTTTGCTGGGTGCCTAAACTGACAGGTAACACCTGCATTACCCTAATTTGTGCAACAAAGTGGTTACAAAGGGAGTAAGAAGTTCAACTGCTAACCTGAAAAGCCAGGAATTTCCTTGGCCACGTGGACATGGCACATGGAGTGTCTTTAGAGTTGAGGCTGCCTGGTTGTTGGTACCAAAATGATGTCAGATTTTTTTTGTAATTGGCTTTTTTCATGTCCAAAGTACAGATTTTCTTTTTGTCCTGTAATTGCTTTCTTCCTGTCAGTGTTGAATAGATCCTGAAAAGGTTGGGAGTCACTTTTTATTTTGGAATACTTGGACAGATTGCTTTGTTCTGCCTACAGCAGCGGGTTTGGGTGGATAACAAGCCAATTTATTGGCAGGGGAGAAATCAATGGCACACTTACACAGGACTTTTGCTGGTTTAATTAGACTACACAGACTACTTTTCAAACAGCCCAGTCAAAACAGTGCGTTGTAGAAACACACAAACCCCTCATTTAAAAAGGAGAAGGTCGGAGATCAAACTTTTCCATTGTTTGCTGTGAATCCCCTATAAATAGAACCCCCAAAGCTGCCAGTGCAGCAGAGCTGAGTGATTCTCCCCGAGAAATCCTGCCAAAGTGAGTGTTACAGCACCATCTAGTGCCTCTTCCTCCAGCAGGAGAGGGAATTCATTTAGTTTTCCACTGAATTCCAGTCTCTAGGTGGGCACGAGGGAGGGCATTGGCTGATCATACATTCTGACAACTTTTCTCTCAACGAGCGCAGACAGAGGAGGGAGCTGAGGGATGTAAAGGAGCTTTGGAATTTTACATGGCAAAGGTTTTCTCAGCAGAGCTGCTCTGAGTTCCTTTTTCATCCATTTACCAGTCACCCAGTTTTCCTCCTGAGCACAGTGGATGCAGGATGGGAATATGGGAGGGAAAGTACTGTGGTTAAATAACAGACTGACCAAATGGTATATTTTACGGGGGGAAGGTGAGCTGTATTTTTGGTAGAGCACATATCCTGCTTGGAATGACTGGTAAGGGGAGGCTGGGGGTTGTTTGCAAACACCTTGTGTTGAGAACTGCCCCTGTAATTAACGCACAAGGCCAGGTAAGCAGCACTCAAACCTTTGCTTTCCACATCCCGACTGTGACCTGGGATGAAAACTGAATTATCACTAAATGAATACTAAATTAAATTCTCAATATCTTTTGCACTGCTTTCCTTTTCTTTGTTCCTTTTTCCCCTGGAAAGGTGATTAATGTCCTCTGCCTCCAAACCACTCAGGGGTTAACCAAGAACCGCTTTGCAATTAGCCACCATTCCCAACCAGCCATGGGAGATGACTTGAATTTGGGGATGAAACCCCCCAGGACTGGTGGTGGCATGGCATTTGAACTTCCATTTTATTTTGGGAGTGCCGTTTCCAGAAGCAAAGCTCACCCCAGCTGTCTGGGTGTATCTGTGAGAAGCAGCTGCTCCAAAGCAAAGAAGCCCTTCATCCCACTGGAGTGCTCTGACTTCATGGAAATTACAGCAATTTGGGGACTCTCAGACAGATTGGCACTGACCAGATTAACTGATGGACTCCGGGATATACATAGCCTTGCCCTCACCAAATTTACTCAGATAACTTGGGACTGAGACGTTGCTCTTCGGTCTGCAGCCTGCTGCTTTCTGTTTATAATCTGGCCTGGAGGAATAGCAAACAACTTCCAGTGATTCCAGTCTCCGTTTGGGAACTCACCACATGCTGGGAGGGATTAAAATGTCAAAAGGGCATAAAGAGATGCAACAGCACCCAAAGTAAGAGATAGGGAAATCCTGGGCTTTGCTCCCAGAGTTTCTACTACTCATCATTTTATGATGATTATTATTGAATTTAGTGCTTCCCAGAAGAAACCCCAGTTCTTTCAGTCACGGAATTATTGGAGATTCTCAGGAGCCACTAAAAAATAAGCTCTCTCCCTCAAGACTGCAGAAATGAGCTTAAAAGTGTGGTTTAAATGTACCCCCAGCAATCCAGTAAAAAACCAACAGAAATCAAAATGGATTAGCATATCAAAAGAAGTATATTTAGCATAAGTTTTTTAATGAAACCCCAGGGTTTGGAGGAGTGGCTCATATAATTTTTAATACTTCAGCTGGCCAGGCTGCAAAGCAGCCTGACCACAAAAACATTTGATTGTTTTTATTATGGTGTATTAACAGACACAATGCCCTGCAATTGTGTATATTACACTGAGATAATGCAGAAAAACTTATGGAATCAGAACTTAATCATTTCAGTGATTATTATAAATGCCTAATGTTTGTGCTACATTCCTCATTTGGCAAATGTGGTAGCGATTGTTGTTCTAAAGGCACATTCAGGTCAGTATAGATAGTGATTATTTTGGAATTGCCCACCCATGATGGTAAGGAAATTAGAGTGCTATTTGTCTTTTAAATGTGCTTCTCCAAAACATTTTAATTCTGATTGAAAAAAATATAAAAATTAGTGTTTTGCTCGCTGGCTAATCATTAGTTTCCTCTGTCAGTGGTCCAGGGAGAATGTTATTGCTGAACTGAAATGGGAGACACTCAAAACAGAAAGTGCAGAATTCTGCCCTGCAAACAAGGCCTTGGAATATCTCCACTGAGGGGACTCCACATCCTCTGGGCAACGTGTTCCAGTGCTCTGTCACTGCACAGAAAACAAGTTTTTCCTCATCTTCAGATGGAACCTCTTGGGCATCAGTCTCAGCGTGTTGTCTCTTGTGCTACTGCTTGGCACCACAGAGAGGAGCCTGGCTCCGTCCTCTTGGCGCCGGCCCTTTATAATTTAATAATTAAATAATTAATATTTGTGTGCATTGTAAGATTCCCTCTCGGTCATCTCTCCTCCAGGCTGAACAGCCCCAGCTCCCTCAGCCTCCCCTCCCAGCACAGATGGATGCCCCAGTGCCCTCACCATCTCCCCGGCCCTTCCCTGCGCCCGCTGCACGGCTCTCTTGTACTGATTTTTATCTCATCGTTGTGTTTACGGCTTCTCTCTCAAGCCATTCACCCAGCAGGCTCCATCCATCTGGTTTTATCCACATGCAGCCCCTCTGCCAGGCTCAAAGCCGTGCACTGAGGCACCTTTCGGGGGCCGCAGCAGGTGCCGGCCCGGAGGCTCTAAGGGGGTCAGCCATGGCCCTGCCCTGTGGGGACAGCAGGGCCCGCTATCCCCGGCACCGCCGAGCCCGGGGCTGGGGGGGACTGCCCCTGCCCGGGGGACACGGCACCACCGCCCCACGATCGGTGAGAGCTCGGAGGGTCGGCGAAACTCCCGCTCCCCTCAGCCCACGGCCCCGGCACGGGCTCCTCCTCCCCCTGCCGCCCCGCCCCGGCCGCTTCCCAGGCTCCTCTCCGGGTAAACAGCGATGGCCGCCGAGGAGGGAGGCGGCGAGCCCCGAAACAACATGGGGAACCACCTCCAGCTGGTGCCCGGTAAGGGCCGGGCCGGGGGGACGAGCGGAGGGAAGGGGCTGAGGGCGATGTGAGGGGCGCTGAGGGCAGCGGGCAGCGCGGAGGGGCCGTGAGGGCAGCGCCGGGCCGGCCGTGTGTGGCCGGGGGTGCTGGGCTCTGGAGCTGCGGGCGCTCCCCGGTGGGTGGGAGGCGAACCGTGAGCGGTGGAGCCGCGAATCCTGCTTTTTATAAGGCCTGGGCTCTCATAAATCCCCCGGTGCGGTGGAGGAAGGAACGCTCGGTTAGCGGTGTTGGGGTGAAAGCACTGTGGGGTTTCCACCGGCTTGGGCAAACCGGACGCTTCGCTGCACATTCAGAGAGCAAGCAGAGTCCGAGGAATACTTGTGTTATTTTATAAGGTCTCTATTGCATTTAAATGCTCTCTAATGCTATTAATAATGAGAGAAGCAAGAGGTGCTGCGGGCTGGAGGGCAGCGTTGTGTCCCCAGTGCTGTCCAGGCTTTGGCAGGGTTTGTGCCAGGGACAGCCCTGCTTATCTGTGCACACACCCCACTGTAAGTCCTCATTATGCATAATTATTGCATAATAACGTGCCTTTCTCTGCATATAGTGCCTCCAGACTGGCAGGAGATCGTATGGTTTGGGAAGCAGCTCGTGCTAAACTGGAAAAAAACACCCATTATTTCAGAATAAGCACGTAGACGAGAAAAGTAGCAGTAAGTCCTGCCAGTAACCAGAGTGATTTCCTACGGCAGGAAATTCTATGAGCATTTTAGGCCTGTGTATTTTAAATAACATGAAAATATTCCCTGACTAGTTTAGGAAATACAGCCTTAATAGGATTACCTTGTTACAAGGTTCATATTTCTGCACAGAGGCAGTGAGGGTGGAATGGGAACGCCTGATGTGCCACGAGGGGAAGGTGAGCCTTGCCATGCAGGGTTCTCCCAGCACTTCCCTTTGCCTTGTCCCTGCGTGCTGGAGGCCTAAACGAATAATAATAAATGCACAATCAGGGGTGTCAAGGTGCAGGCTGCGCTGCCTCCCCCCTGCTGTCCCCGTGGTGAGGGTGAAGGCGCCGGTGTTTTCTCGCCGCTCGCTGGTGCTGCTGCAGTGGGATGAGTCATCGTTCCTGTGCCACCACACAGCAGCCACTGTGCGTTTTTGGCAGGGACCAGCCAAAGTTTGCAGGGCAGACAGCTCTTTCTAATCAACTGCTGTTCGTTCCTTCTGCCTTCAGCAAAACCAGGGGAATGGCCTCGCTCTCAAAGGCTGTTCAAGCTGCTCATGATGGATCCAGCTCCATGAGAGGGCGTGGAAAAGCAGAATATTTTTTTTTTTTATTCCTCCCCCCATCCTGCACTGCTGCCCCAGAACCAAATAAAAACTTTCTGCTCTTTCCCACCATCAAACTCAGCGAAATAGTGGCAGTTTTGTACACACCTTAAGCGTTTTGCAGTCATCCACGGTCAGGGTTCCTAACTGAGTATGATGGAAGGAAATTTCATATAGAAATGGAGTATTTTTAACAATAATTAGGAAGATGATGTCTCATTACCCAAAGTATTTTAATTAGGTAAAATACCAAAGAGAGCCTGTAACCTCCTTTCCCGACACGCTGGATCGTTTCTTGTTGAGCTAAATAAAATACAGGATGGATCCATAGGGGAGGTTCTATAAACTAGGCATTATTACAAGGAAAATGAGGTGGAGCAGAAGGAAGGCCATTGACTAAACACTTTGTAAAGAACCTTTAACAAATGTGTGTGAAGGCCAAAGAGGGAAAGGAAAGGTTCTCCAAACCCAGCTTATAATGTGTTCTTCACTGTTCTCCTGCCTTCCCACTCTCAGAAACAGTAAAATAAGTGGTGCTCCCCTTTCTTAAGGGAGATTATTCCGTTCTGCAGCACCTTTCTTTTGTAAGGTTTACCTTACAGAATGCTTCAGATCAGTTAATCATTTTAAATTTTCAACTCTGGCTTATTTCCTGATTGCAAAGGCAGGCAGCTAGATAGCCAGCTTGCTGTTAAGATATCTTTCTGCTTATCTTGTAATAGCTTTCAAGATCTAAATGATGTTTTTCAGCACCGTTGGGATTGTCCATTACCCAGCAGCTCTTGGTGTAAGAATCCTGCAGATTGGCTTATGATAACATCTATTTTAGATATAATATGCTGTATAAATAGTGTTTGTGTTCAAAGAAATAGGATCAAGTAAAGCAGATATAAATTTGTGATCACTGCATTGCATTTTGTTTGGGTCTTTGCAGGCACACATTGTATGGGAATGCACAGAACAGGCAGTGAAACCAGCATTTTAGACATAATATTTTTTATTATTTCACTATGTTTCAAATTTATTTTAGAATATCCATACAGACTTTATACAGATAAGTGCACTCTTTATGTTTCCAAAATAAAACATACTGATAATTTAACTGTCCTCTTGCTGAAAGTAATTTTAAGATCAACATCTGGAACTGAGAGATAGGAAGGAAAAGGTAATTTTAAAATACTGTTTTATACCTGAAATCCTCTAAAGTAATGTAATTTGCTTCCTTAGGAGTTGCCTTTGCTGGGTTTGTGTGTTTGTTTTGTACACACAGCAGGGCCTGACAGCAGTTAAATTGTCTAAAATACCAGCAGGAGTCCCTGCATGAATACACAGCTTCACATTGCTTATTTTTATTGTTCAGGTTTGTACTGCTTCAAACACTGCATTCAGCATCCTACAAGAAATGAAGTTATCTGGAACCCCAGTGTACAGACAGAAAACCTTTAGCACTGAGATAAAGAACTCCTACTGTAGGGAAAATCTGTACTGACAGCCTTGGTTTATTATTTTCTTCCAAAAATGTCTTTCTTTATCCTTTCAGAAGTAAATTACCAGCGTTTGAGCCTTTCTGTAGAATAATGATTTTGCTGTAACAGCAAGAAAATTATTTCTCTCAAGTTTACACATATAAAGGTTGCTTCCCTGTGCATTTCCCCCATTCTCTGATTTTTCTCAGTCTCTCAGTCTTTGCTGACTGATTTCTACACAATATTCTGTCTGTGCTTCTTAGCAGAGAGTGAGGAAGAAGATGACAATGAAATGGAAGTGGAAGACCAAGATAGCAAAGACACAGAGAAGCCAAATGTCATTAATTTTGATACCAGCTTGCCCACATCACATATGGTATGTTTTTTTATATGTAGTCCATTAAATACATCTTGAAGTGTTTTGGATTGGGTTTGTGTAGCTCTGTTGTAATGTTCTTAACCCCAAGACTTAATTTTAGTTTCATAGAATTGAATGGTTTGGGCTGAAAGGACCTTAAAGCCCATCCAGTCCCACCCCCTGCCCTGGGCAGGGACACCTCCCACTATCCCAGATTCTCCAAGCCCTGTCCAACCTGGCCTTGGACACTCCCAGGGATGGGGCAGCCACAGCTTCTCTGGGCACCCTGTGCCAGGGCCTCCCCACCCCTATAATAAAGAATTTTTCCCAGTATCCCATCTAACCCACTCTCTGGCAGTGGGAAGCCATTCCCCCTTTTCCTGCCACTCCAGGCCCTTGGAAACAGTCTTTCCCTGTCGACTCCTTCAGGCACTGAAAGGCCACAGTTAGATCACCTGCAATCCTCTCCAGGCTGAACAGTCGCAGCTCTCCCATCCCTTCCTCCCAGCAGAGCTGCTCCATCCCTTGGTGCCTCCAGGAGCTCCACGTGCTTCCTGCAGACACAGCTCCCTTCTCTGACTGTCGTTGCCGTGTTCCCAGTACTTAGGCTCGGACATGGAGGAGTTCCACGGGCGGACGGTGCACGACGACGACAGCTGCCAGGTGATCCCGGTGCTGCCGCACGTGATGGTGATGCTGATCCCGGGGCAGACGCTGCCCCTGCAGCTCTTCCACCCGCAGGAGGTCAGCATGGTGCGCAACCTCATCCAGAGGGACAGGACCTTCGCCGTGCTGGCCTACAGGTAAAGCACCCACACCCTCTGGTGCTCTCCGCCTGCAGTGCCGTCCCTTTGGGTGCTGAAACAAAAGCATCGGTTCTGCGCTCAAGAACAACTTGTGCGTTGAAGTTGTGCGCCCAAAATTGCCTTCCGGTATGTCGTAAGAAGGTTTTTGTGTTGTGCTCGGTAGGTGCTTGGCAGCATCATGTTTTTGTGTGGGGGAACAGCAAGTGCTGAGCTGCTGCCCTGGTTGAGCATCCTCTTGAGTTTGGTAACTGTTTGTTCCATCTTGCTTAAAAGAGTAAGCCTGGACCTGAAGTGGCAAAAATCACATTGTTGTTTTGAGAGCTGTGTTGTTGCTTGGTTTGTGTATAGATTAACGAGCACACACAGATGTTTCACGGTAGAGTTGGGTACACAGGAGGTGATAGAAAAGCAGAAAAGATGAAGGCTAATCAGTGCCAAAAGAAGTTGGGAACATTCTTCCCTCTTCCCCCCCCGCCTTTACTATGGTTTAATTATGTAGGAGGTGAGAACAGTTATTTTATAAAGTCCATCTAAAGAATGTTGGTACTTTAAGTACCTGCATTTGAAATGCAGATACACTGGTGATCCCTGTCAGCTCCTGGAATGTCACCTCTAGAGCCTGAAATAAACCCAAGTTAACTGGCAAAAAAACCCCCAACCATAAAAAAGAAAATTAGAAGTTATTTTAAAACAAAATAAAGGAATTATGGACAAATAATTGTGATTAGTTGAAAGCATTTTACCAAAATTACTTTTTTGGTAAGACTCGTCATGTACAGTCAGTGCAGGCAGACTGACTCCTGGAGTTTGATGAGCTGTTTGGAGGGTGGGTAATTGATTAAATTTATCTTTATCCTGTTATTTTAGTAACGTACGTGAAAGGGAAGCACATTTTGGAACAACAGCAGAAATCTATGCCTACAGAGAAGAGCAGGAATATGGAATTGAAACAGTCAAGGTGAAGGCAATAGGAAGGCAGAGGTTCAAGGTGCTTGAAATAAGAACACAATCAGATGGGTAAGACAATTATTTATTTAATTCTACTTACTGCAAATCTTTTCTCCCCAAAACTTTACATTTTACTGCAGGTGCATCTGCCCTTTCAGTCACACAGTTGTCTAGTTACTATAGATAGTAATTGAATGCCTAATCAGCAGCTGCTCTGGTTATTAAAGACTTCTGACATTTTTCCCTTTGTAAACCAGAAGCCCACTGGGATTTGTGCATAAATTTTTGACTGAAACCACCGTCTTGGTTTTAGCTTACTAACTACCTCGTCCATCATTTTCAGTTTCTCAAATCCTGAATCTTGTTCATCTTAAACACTGTCACAGTTTAGTCCATCCTGACCTTCAGCAAGTGTTGCTCCTCCTCTCTGTTCACTGAGACTTCACTGACAGAAATGTGCTGCTTCTCCTGGTATGGCTTGGCAGTTCTCTGCGTGTACTTGTCAGACACACTCAAGTCAGCTTTGATAGGAGTATTCTCTTATTTCCTAGTCCTTTTCCATGTTCCAGTGTGATCCCCGTGACATTTAGATGCTCTTTTGACTGGCTTGATCATATTATGTAATTAATACCTTTGTCCATTTATAAAAATGATTAAGACCCGTAACGTTTAGTAAGAATATGCTGAGTCTTCTCTCATTTTCCTCTTGACATCATGCCCTGCATCTTGAGTCTCTGTCATTGTCGCTGTCCAGAGGTACAGGCTCCAGCCATTGATCCTGTGAGCAGGTGACAATTCTTAGCACAATTTCTGCAGGTTTCTGCAATCATCTTTTCTGCAAGGCTTACGAAGTATTGCTCCAAACTTGTAAATCTGATCACCTGTATCCTGCTGTTCAGTACGGTGCCATTGCTTCAGGAAGAGTCCTGGGAGCAGTCAGGGCCCAGCATTTTTATGCTTTTATGACCTACAGCTGAAGAAATTAAGAATACCTGTGCTGCTTGCTGTTTGTCACTGTGTAAACTTTGGTTACAAATAACACTCCAGATTTTACAGCTCAGGAAAGCCACTGCTTGGACACACGGTGGCAGTACTTGGACAACTGCAGTAGCAGCAGTTGCTGAGGATTCAGTGTCCAGAGCTTCTGAGCAAGCAGAACATTTCCATAGCTCTTGATGTTTCTGATTGTTAAGTGCTTATGGCAAAACATCAATTTATAATTTATTGGAAGGTACCAGTTCAGTGTTGTCCCTCTGATAAAACTGTAAATTTGTAATGACATGCACCTCAATATTTCAGTATTTCTCCTGCATAATACTGATAAAAAGGGAAGTCTTTCCCCTGGACAGCATTCTCAGTAGCCACACAACATCTGCTGAACTCTTTGTGGAATAGGGATTTGATGGTGGGATATTAAAAGCTGATCAGAGTCCATATCCTGTTTCTGCTGATTCTGACCTCTGGCTGAGCTCATAAGCTTTTGTGGTTTGAAGATGATAGCAAACTGCATTTCAGCTAAACCACCTTTTGAGGGTTTGAGATGTGAGAGCTGACTACTGGCTTGTACCAAAAGGAACCTGAGGAGACAAAAATCCAGATACGTAGTGCTGAGATGGTGGAATGTTCTGCTGCGTTGCCACTGTCTGACAGAAAAAAATTGTGATGGGTGGATTGCTGCTTAAATTCTGTGCTACTGTGTAGTGATTAGTTCATTAGACAGGCCTATGTTCTGTAAGCAGCGTTTTTAACCTCTTGGATTCTTTTCTCCTCTCAGGATCCAGCAGGCCAAAGTGCAGATCCTCCCGGAGCGAGTGCTGCCCTCCACCATGGCAGCCGTGCAGCTGCAGTCCCTCAGCAGGTGCCACGTGGTGCCCTGTGCCAAGCCCTCCTCCTGGCAGGACAGAGCGATACGCCAGTGGTGGCAGAAGTATCAGAAGGTTGGAAGTTACTCTGTGGTTTTGGTTGAGTTTTTTTTTTTTTTTAATTTCTGACAGTGTTTTGAAAATCAGTATAAAATTCCATATAGAGGAGGGGGCACAATGAGGAAGGCAGATCCCAGCATCCTGCTTTTCATAGAATCGCAGGAGGTTTGGATTGGAAAGGTCCTTAAAGCCCATCCAGTGCCACCCCTGCCATGGGCAGGAACACCTTCCACTAGCACAGGGTGCTTCAAACCCCGTCCAAGCTGGCTTTGGGCACTTCCAGGGATCCAGGGGCAGCCACAGCTTCTCTGGGCACCCTGTGCCAGTTTATATAGGTATTTATTATTAAACCCACTGTTTTTGATGTATAAAAGGGAAGTTACCTTGAAATCTTCTGTCCCTAAAATCTGCTTATGTTAAAGAATGAATATTTCTGGGTTTGGTTTCAGAGGAAGTTCCACTGTGCCAGTTTGACATCCTGGCCTCCCTGGCTCTACTCTCTGTATGATGCTGTAAGTCCACCCTCTGTATTATCAAATAACCTACAGTTTTATGGCTGTAATATCTAAGTATTGGATAATGTAAAAGCTTTAGTTTTGTTGGCTCATAAGTTACATTGTAAAGCACTTGAGAGTTTTCAGTGTAGTGTGAAAAGATCAGGAAGGGCTTCCCCCTCTGTGTGGCTGTTCTCTCCTGCTAGAACATGTTTTTGGGGTGGGTAGCAGAGCTGCTGATTTCTGCTGCGTTGTCTGAGAGCAAAAATAGTTAAAATACGTAGATACAAAATGATTCTTTAATTATTGCAAGTCTTAAAAGCTAATGTCCACTTAGGGAAAACACCTTACTCTACCTTTTGCTTCCCTTTTTTTTTTTCCCCCTAAGAAACCAGAAATATCTATGTATTTAAATTAGGCTTTTCTTCTAACAAAAGGAAACCTTGATGGAAAGAGTCAAGAGGCAGCTACATGAATGGGATGAAAACCTCAAAGATGAATCCCTTCCAACAAACCCAATAGGTAGGAAATGACTGATTTTACAAACTCCAGTTTGCCTTCTTGTTTTTTGTAATTTCCTGGGAGAACACAGCTTAGATAATTACCCTGTACAGAGTAAGTGGAAGCAGTGGGTTTGGTTTCTCTGCTGCATTCTAACAGACCTGCTGGTCTCTCATTTGCAGATTTTTCTTACAGAGTTGCTGCCTGCCTGCCCATTGACGATGCTTTACGTATCCAGCTGCTTAAAATAGGCAGTGCTGTGCAGAGGCTCCGCTGTGAGTTAGACATCATGAACAGAGTGAGTAGCTGTGCCTTCCTTGCCCTCAGATTGCTCTTGCCAGAAAGAATTGTAGCAGTGACTGTTACAGTCCCTGGCAAGAACATGTTAATTTTCCAGCTCATCCTTCTGGAGAGTGAATTTCTGTTTTTTTCTTCCTTCCCCTTGAAGTTTGCTCCAGAAAGGGAAGTGGTCTCTCAGTGCTGGGTTTTGTTTGGCAGCGAGCATGAAACAAATAATATTTGCTTCTGTTAGAAACACTGTTTTAAGGCCTCCCAGCACTTTTTAGCCAAGAGATGGTGCTGTAGGTCCAGTGTCGCTCCTGAGCATCTTCTGAACATCACACAGACACTGCAGTCAGGGATCAGTGTGCCATGGAAACCTGGGGATGGTGTAGCAAAAATTCAACCTTTGTACTGTTGATCTTTTGGATATCAATCTAAATATTGGACTAAAAGGTTGGTTTTTTTTCCCAAAAGACACGTATTAACTTGTTAGGCAATACTTTGTTAAGATATTAAAAAACTTGTCTTCCCTTCTTTCCACTGCCATGGCCTTGTGATACTCTGAATGTTTTATTTTTATTCAGTATGTTTCTTGATAGGAATCTGTGCTTTATTAATAATAATATTGCTTGTCTGCATGATACAGAGCAGTGGAAATTTTGCCTGTTTGCCTAAAAAGTGCTGCCTGTTTCTGGGGGAAAGAGAACCACAGTTATCATTTGAATGCTGTTCCTCTTCCCACAGCTCAGGCACCAAAAAATGCATAAGGAAAAATACAGAGAATGGAGACAGAAAACATCTCTTCCAGAGATGTACTGCACCTCCTGAAAATTAATAGTAGCTGATTCACTAATTTACTAAGCTGAGTTAAATGCTTATTTTCTGGGCAGTGATGAATTGCTTGGTTCTACATTCTGGAAATTGTAGAAGATGGATTAATCTGCTCTAATCTCCCAGAGAAAGATCAATATGTTTTACCTATTTTTTGTGAGGAAATTAAACCCATTGATCTGCAGTACTCTGAAATTTTAGAAAGACTTAATGATTGCATTTGTACTCATCTGCCTTTTCTGCGCTGCAGTTTAGAAGAGCAAAGGTTGTTTTTTTCTAAATTAGCTTTTAGAGACCTTGGGAGGCTGGCTCATTTATTATCTTCCTGCAGTCAAGTCCAAAACTGTGTGTGGATCTCTTAGTGTGTAAAAATTGTTATGTCTTTTAGATAATAATGAATGTTTAAGTAAGTAAAATGCATAGAAGAAAATATCCTTTCACAGAAAGAGCAAACCTAAGTGCCTGCTGCTCAGATAAACAAAATAATTGCTCCAAAGTCTGTTCTGAGGGAAAGAGAGAGAGACATGTTTATTATTTGCCACTGCTGACAAGTGTCTGGAATGAATGGAATGACCCTCTTTTTTCTCCCTTCCCAAGTGTACATCTCTCTGTTGTAAGCAATGCCAAGACACAGAAATAACTACTAAGAATGAAATATTCAGGTGAGTTTATTGCTCTTTAATCTGGGGGAGGTTCTTGGGTCAGGAACCCTGGCACAGCTGGGTTATGTCTCAGAACTGCTCGAAGAAAATTGAAGTAAATATTTATAGGGGGTTTTCTTTACAAACCAAAACTGGTTACTTGAGGGTTTTTTTTTTTAATAAAAATGAGGAAATCTGAGGTATGTTGTACCAGAATTTAGTGTGGTGCCACACACCCAGCACCTTGCACCGAAGCATTTGAAATACAAACGTGTTGCATGAGACTTTGTCATCCTGTTGTTTCTGAAGAAAGGTTACGAGATCCCAGGTTTTATTTCTCAGCCCTTCCATCATCGCTTCGATGTGTCAGCAGGAGATTCAAATGCACTAATTGGGTGATATAAGTAGGCTCCCAGGGTGTTGTCATGCAAGGAAGGTGTATTTATGTCACTAGACATTGTGAGCCCTTTTTCATTGTAAGAATTTCAGGTTATCCCTAATAACTGCAGCATGGCCCCCTTCTATGTGTGAACTGTACAATATCTTCCTTGTTTAACGATAATAAGACTGTTCATTTCCAGATAATTGCTGCTTCTGGCAGTTTTGTCACTGTTTTAATCTTGACTATCATCCCCATCCCCTGTGATAATGTGAAGGTTAAAAGATGTCTTGGTTTAACAAAGACTCCCCCCAGTTTTCCTTTATCAGTGTGATAAGGAGCTGACGGGGTAATTAAAAGCCATTTCTTATCTTCTAATCAAATAATGGATTGCAGAAGCCACAATTCCTGCCGTGTCAATGTGATGTACTTTAACAGAAGGTGAGGAGAAGTTGGTGTGATAAACGAACATTTTTGCTCACTGTTAACGTTAGATTTTAATTGCTTTTATTGGCAGTTGCTATTTAAAAGCAGCAGGTCAAATAAATGATGAGTCTATCGTGGACCTTGCTGCAGTTCTAAGGAAATGGGACAAACGATGTTTTAAATTATTCCAAATATTTCCCTTCAGTTTTTATAATATAAAGGTACTTTTTCCCCCCCCTCTATTTACACGTGCCAGAGTTTGGGGTTTGATTTTTCCTTGAGCTCTGCCAACATTCCCTGTGTGTTGCAGCTTATCCCTGTGTGGGCCCATGGCAGCCTACGTGAACCCCCACGGATACATCCATGAAACCCTCACTGTGTACAAAGCCTGCAACCTGAACCTCAGTGGACGACCCTCGACAGAGCACAGCTGGTTCCCTGGGTAAGAACACTCACACTGCACCAGAAAACGGCAGAAATTCGCCTGTAAATGTATTTCTGTGCCGGTGGAGTCGGTAAATGTTTAATTTGTAAACCCGTGTCATCGTTTCACCCCTACGAAAAACAAGGAAGTAAGTTTAGACATTCAAACGAAAAAAACCTCACATAAAGTATTTACAGAATTTATTTTTAATGTTTTTTAAAATAGGGAAGCCTTAAGATTTTAAAACATAGTTTTGAGTCTGATCACTGGTTGGTGATCTGAGAGTTTCTGAATAGTTGTTTTCTGGGAGTTTCTTTGTCTATAGTTTTGTATAGGCTGCAACTAAAATAATTGTTTTCACGCAGCCATCTTTGAGCAGAAAGTGCAAATGAAAATCAGAATATATAAATTCACTAAACTCTCTATGTTCTATATTTATTTTGATTATTTTTGAAGTATTTCAGTAGGATATGGATATTCTACTGAAATATTTTTTTTCAGCTCTGAAAACTGAGTAAATGTTCTGTAAATTTAAAAGTTACATTTGTTTTGATCTGATTATCATGGATTTTATTTTGGTTTGAATGAGTCAGTCTCTCTGAGACAGGAGCAGAATTAACTGTCGAGATATAAAAGTTTGCCTGATAATGACCAGGATTTTTCCCTGGATTATCACGTAGCCCTGAGCATTGATATGGAGGGTGTGTGTAATTTCTGTCCCAACACTTGCACGTTTTAACACTCCCTGAAGAAAACTTGTGGCTTTTAAGAGCTGTAGTTAATATTTCTCATCCTTTTGTGTTTCCTCAGCTCTTCTGTGAGGACTTTTTGAAATATTCATGTTGTACCCTTTCAAGCTGTTAAAGAAAAGCTCTGTTGCTGGGGGAAGTGCAGGAAGTTCCCTGTTTTCCTAAGAGCAGGGCAAAAATCCCTTTTATTCCCGTTAAGTGATTTACTCAGAGCACCGTTTTCTGACCCTTCTTTGAGGCTCTCAGCATTTCAGCAGCTGCTGAAACATTGTGCTGATGAAAAGCTTTACTTGCTTCCTCTCTTTGAGGGCTGCTTTGGGGGTGGGGAGTTGTGTGTGGGAGGGGTTTTCTTAATTTTTTTAAGCTCTGCAGGGTTTTAGGTGGGAATTGGGGCACCTTTTCCTTCTGTGGCAAGGAAACCTGTTGGTTTGTGTTTCAGCTATGCCTGGACCATAGCCCAGTGCAGGATCTGTGGGAGCCACATGGGCTGGAAGTTCACGGCCACCAAGAAGGAAATGTCCCCCCAGAAGTTCTGGGGGCTGACACGCTCCGCTCTCCTGCCCCGCATTCCAGAGGGGGACGAGGACTCCGACCACGAGGGCTCCCCCATCCTCTGCCTGTGAGCTGTCACCTCCTGCAGGGCCTTGGCCAGGGCTCCCTCAGGTGCATCTGCTCAGTTCTGCTTCTGATGCTTCCTTAGACCTGAAAACCCCCTGAACCCACAGCCACACTCCCCAGTCCAAGGAAACAGTCTGGGAGTGCTGTGCGTCCGTGTTGCTGTTCCTCAGGAACACTGAGACTGAAGGCTGAGTCCTTGAGGGAGAGCTGAGGAGAGGAGATGGCTTGAGACACTAAGGAGTGATGGTCCATCTGGACAGAAACAGGAGACACCAAGAAATCTCTGATCCGTGTGGCCAGGCTTCAGACTGAACTTCCTCCGTGTATAATTCCCACTTGCAGTGAAGGAAGATGGGCAGGACTAAATCCCAAATAACCAGAGTCTGATTTATGCAATATCCCTGGGATGGTAGATACAAGTTACTTGCTGCAGAGTATTTTCCATAACACACTCACAAGTGGTTTTGCTGAAATCCCTGTTTCTAACTCAGAAGTACTTCAGGTTTTTTCTGCTTGTGCTGTTTCTGAGATATTTGCTGAATAACCATGGAAGAGAGAAGGAGGCTGAAGTGTTTCTGACTGATCTGAGTGTTGGTGGCACTGCTGGAATGGGCAAAAGCAGGAGCTGCTGCTGCCTCACGGGATGGAACCCATGGGGGGTGTTTGTTCCTTACCAGTTGTCTGATCTATTTAGTCTCTTTGACTTTAGAAGTCTTAAATTTTAAATTGTTTTTAAAAAAAAAAAATACACAGGTCAGTCCCAGGGCAGAAACATCATTGTCATTTGCTGTTGAATGTGCTTCAGTTACTTGTCAAAAATGTTACTGGGAAGGTTTACCAGCAGAGGCATCCAGAATTCTGGGAAGGACTCTCTAAAACACGCCACTGAGTGGATTTTTTAGGAGTACTCATCGTGACAAGGGGAGGTAACATCTCTTTAATTGTTTTTTTCTTTTGCACTTACAGATCATAAAGTAAAATTCCACATTATCACCTTACAAAGAGGAAAAGTTTCCAAATAAAACAAATGAAGGCAGAGTGTTTCGAGGGAGGTTGTTTTTTGGTAGGTCTTTGTTTTAGTTTTGGTGGGGGTTTTTTTGTCTGTGCTCCAGAAATCAGGTGCCAAGCTGAGGCAGCTTTTACCTCTGGTTAATTGGGGAGGTTTTTTCCCTCAGAATTCACTTTGGTGATGGAAGCTGAAGATTTCTCCCTGTGTTGGTGCACAAACTCACTTGTTTTTCTTGTGAAGCTTCATCATTCACTCTTTATTTCTTCACTTGCTGATTACAGTGACACAGAACTCCTTTAGGTTTAGGACACGAGCTGTGAGTTGCTGATGTAGCAAGGACAGAGCACTTCAGCTGAGGGCCAGGTAAGTCCAAGCTTGTCCCACTTCATGAGGTTTTTGGGTTTTTGCCGAGTTTTTGGATTGTCTGAACTAAAAATGTTATGTTGGTAATGTTTGAATCCAAAATAGGCATATTTTGGGGATTGTGTGTACGTAATCAAATGTGAACTAATATAATCGAGGTAAGTCAGGAGTAAAATTAGCGGTAATTTCATTTCCTTGTTGATGATGCTGTTCCATCTGCCTGACCTGTGTGATGTTTGCCATGTGGAAGTCCAGGACACTTTCCAGGCTGTTAAAACAAGTGTGCTGTGGGTTGCTGATGAATCCTGCCATGAATCCAGTACAGTGATTGAGCAGAGTGTACAGGACGTGGCTTCCAGGGCGGGTGGGGATTTGGGGATGGTTCTGGACGTTGGTTCATGTTTTCTGTGCTTTTCTCTGTTTTGAAGAGAAAACTTAGACTGGGATTATGGGAAGTGGTTACAAGTATGGACATGGTGTGCTTTGAGAGCTAAGGCAAAGGAACTGACATTTTATGATCATTTACTACATTTACCCTATTCCTTGGTTGTAGCTTCCAGCAGGAATTAATCCAGTGGCTGCTGCCCCAGGGGATCATTTTTCTCCTCTCCCACCATCCTCCCCTGCCCTGAGATGTGGGAACAGGGCTGTGGAAGGGCTGGTGTGTCTGGGGAGGGGAGGAGGGTGGGATGTGCACCCTGTGGGACAGAGGAGTGTCCTGCAGGGCTGATGGATCACAGCAGGTGGAGCACAGACCCATTTCCAAGCTGTCACTGCACCATCACAATCAGAGCCTGTAATATTGCAATTTTCATATGTTTAATTTTGATTAATAGGTAGAACCACGTAGGCCATTGGCACACTGGGTCTGAAACATGTTCAAATGCTCTTTGTTTTACAATAACACTTTTTGTACGTGCTGCAGTTCATTTGTTCCTCTCACTGTCACCTCCAATTGCTCTGTGAGGCTGCTGAGGGGCAGCTCTGGCTCCTCTCGAACTCCTCCTCTCTCTGCCTTTTGGGACAACTTTTCTGACAAATCTTGTTGCTTGCAAACATTTGCAAAAAGAATAAAATTCAATTTGTTTCAAAACTCACCTGTTCTGTTGCTGATTGGTGGGATGGGGAAAAGGCAGTGCTTGGGTTTGTGTTTCAAACAGTTTGGCTGCAAAAGTCTCGTGGACACAAGCTGCTAGTTGCTTGTTCTCTGTCAGGCACCAGATGACAAGACTCAGTTTCAAGCTTTTGTCCTTAAAATTCCTCTTTCCAAGTGCAGTTTGACCCTGACAGCCATTTTGGGTAAGGTGAATGTGTTAATTGTAATTAATTCATTTTATCACCTCCCCAGCCATTGCCCTAAAGATGCAGGTTTAAGTTCCTCCAAGGAATCCAACACAGCACTACATTTTAGCACTTGTCTCCCTCCCAAGATTTCAGGAGCTCAGTAAATTGCACGAAGGAGGCTTCCATTTAATTACATCATTAAATTAAGCACCATCCTGTTCTCATGAGATTTGCCTTATTAACAAACAGCACTTTTTCTCTTCCCTTGCTTCTTCCTCGGGCTCCCGAGTACCTTCAGAATAATTTATTTACAGGAACCCACTTCCTAGGAACAGAAAAGGCAGCTGGGAAGTTGTGTGAGAACCAGAAACGGTGATTTCTTTCAGCACTGCTCCTGCATTGCCATCTAGTGCTGCAAAATGATATCCAAGGAAAACAAAATCCAAACGATTTTATTAGTTACCACGGTTTGGCAGGAAAACAACCTGCAATAAAGGTTATACACACAAGAGCTGCTCTCACTGAGTTATTTTTTTGGTTTTTTAACAGTACACCAGAAAAGGCAGGGATAGTAAGACACATCCATGGAGACAGCAGTGCTCCAAGAACCCAACAACTTCCCAAGGCAAGGACCCTGGATCTCCCCTCTATTAATGTTAATTAACAGTTCGTTTCACACCCTGTAGAACCCTCCACCAGCTCTCTATGGATTTAATTACTCAGTGCTAAATTACTGAGAAACTACTGAAGAGACAAGAAGTCCATGATACTGACTCAGCCAAGTCGTCCTTTTAATCTGGAATTGATTCTGGAGTTCTGGAAAATAAAAATATATCTAGAAAACAGACAGGTTTTCCATGGTGAGACTGGGAACTGCTGGAGTATCTCCATCTGTATCCAGCTTTAACTACAAAGAGTTAAATTACAGCTCATTATTTCCAGACACTGTCACTCTCTTAGGCACAAAAACCCTCCATGATTTTATCTAGAGGATACAAACACCTTTTTTTGAAGATTTGAGGGAGTTTTTTTTTAGATATAGCAAAGTCCGAATGAGAATAACCTTGCTGTCACCTCTAGAGCCTTAAAGTCATGATAAAGCAGTAAATATTTATCACCAAATACAACAGAGAGAGGTAGAAAACGTGGCATTTGGCAAATAATGCCTTACATTATTACAAAAATTAAACCTCTCCTTGCAGAAACGATGGATTAGTAACTGAGGGTGTTAAATGTCACAGAAGCTCTACTGGCTGTGAGGGACAAGATATTCCAAGTCACACTCAGATCAGGGCACAAACAGCCCTGTTCTTATTCATTTTACAACCTCTTCAGGCAGCTCAGCAGTTCCTCTTTGTCCATGTGGTATCCACTCTTTTTCCACTCATCCCTCAGCTGCTGCAGTGCTGTTCCAATTTCCTTCCCAGAAGTCACTCCCATCTTCCGTAAATCGTGGCCGCTGACGGGGAACGTGGGCACAGTCCACTCCTGCATCTCCTTTAAAAGCTGCTCTTCCCCTTGGTACTTCAGCAGCTCGAAGATCTTGGAATTTGTGTTGGCTTCCCTAGACTAGGAGACAACAGGGAAACAGGGAGGATTCAGTAGGAATCAGCAGAGAACAGCTCAGACTGTGCTCCTCCCATCACACCTCACCAGGCTGGACCTGGAGGAGATGGATCTATGGAAACAAGGATCTCTCCTGCCTCCCAAGTGTTCAAACCCAGTCCTGACAAACATTTCTCAGCCTGACTGAAAGGCTTTCAACTGCTAAAAATGTGGTGGGTTTGGTTGGTTTGTTATAAATTTCTTAAAAAGGAATTTAAAGCCTCGGTATTTTGGATGGAAAAGAAACAAAGCAAATAACAGAATCACAGAATGGTTTGGCTCAGAAGGGACCTTAAAGAGCATCTGGTTCCATGGGCAGGGATCTCTTCCCACCAGCCCAGGTTGCTCCAAGTCCCACCCAACCCGGCCTTGTTTGAAAAACAAACCAACAAACCCCACTGACTTAACTGGAAGTGGTGTCAGTAATATTTTTAATATGAAAGATACTCCTCCATTTTCTGTGACAGTATTACAGTGGCAGCAACCCAAAAGCTGGCTCAGAATTTTTACCAGTACATCCCAGACCTGTGATGAAAATATCACGGTCTTTAAAACACCAGCAAAAAACCTGGTTAAGCCCAAGGAAGGATGGAACGCTCTGAAATGGCTCTTTTAGGCTCTTTCTTTCCACTAGGCCTTGTCATCTCTGCTGCCCTGTACAACTGCAAGCTCAGCTCCCTGTGAAAACCAACTAAAAGCACTGTCAGACACACTTACATCCATCAGAAAGTCCTGGTATGGCCTCAGTGGTTCTGGCCCCACAGCCTTGCTCAGTTCCTGCCGCTGCTTCACCAAGAAAAGGCCCAGGTTCTTCTCTTCTTTGGAGATTTTCAGCCTCAGGTCAAGGTTTGTGACATCATCCTTCCCCCTGAACAAGGATGTCAGGACAGTCATGGGCTTTGGGGACAGATTCTGAATATTTTTAGTGACTCTGGCAAATTCCTCCAAATTCCCATCAAGTGGGAGCCCTAAAAGGATACACAAAGAAAGCATTAATGAGAAATGTGGATGTTAACACAAGGAAAAAAATCAAATCTAATTTCTTTCTGAGTAAAATCAAGTTTCATCTCACTTTGCCACACTGCAAGTTCTGTTTGTCTACGACATAGGAGTAATAAATCAATTTTCAGCTTACCTATGTACTGGGCAATATCCAGCTCATACATAAGTTGAACCAAATGATTTACATGGTTTCCAAGAAGAATTTTTTTCAGTTCCACCCAAATCCTTTCTCCTGATATTCCAGCCAAACCTTTGGCATTTTCTTTAATTGCTTGCAGTGTAGTAGGTTCATGATCTCCAGGTTTCTCTGCAAGTCTTCCATAAAATCTGCCAAATAAACCCCCTGGATGTTAGAACAGAACAACTATTCCACTTACAATCATTTAGGTTGGAAACGAAATACGACAACTACAACTCTTTTTACGTCCCTTTTTGATCTCTTTTTGCAAGTTTCTGAAACCTTTACAGTTCATTTCTTCATCTGGGAAAGGCAAAACTTCTTACCTGAAATACCTGAGGATTCGTAAATAATCTTCTTGTATTCTCTCACTTGCCTTCCCTACAAATCTGATTTTCTTGTTTTTCAAGTCTTCATAGCCATTAAAAAAATCATACAGTGTCCCATCCAGACCTAGAGAAAGAAGAAAAAAAAAAAACCAGAAAAATATGAATTTAAGATCGTGGTTGACATAATTGAACACTATAATTTGAAAACAGAGAAGGGAAGTTGTGTGATTTGACCCGGTTTGTCAGATCATCTCACGTATTTGCACAGGAGAATCAAACAAAATTCAAAAAGGCAGAATTTACTGGCTTGATTTGAAATATTAGAGATATTTATAAATATAAATATTTAGATTAATAAATACAAGTATTTATGTACCCAAAAACATGGAGTTGACAGTGAGGTCCCTCCTCTCAGCGTCCTTCTGCCAGTCCGTGGTGAATTCCACCTCGGCGTGCCGTCCATCGGTGACAACATCTATTCGGAGAGTGGTAATTTCAAAATTCTGTTCATGGAGCTGCAAATCCCACAGACATCGTTACTTCAACACAGCCAGGCGATGGAAAACCTAAAACCTGTGCATTTTTTTCAGCCTCCTGTCTGCAGACAGCGACTGGACAAAGCATCGTGTGCCAGGTTTTCCTGCAGAGCAGGCAACTGAGAAATACGAACCCCTGAAAGCAATCCTTGCATTATTTATTTTCTACAGAGCCTTGCAGAAATATTCCTGCAGACCAAAGTAGAGGAAACATGACCTGGGAAACCAGGAGCAGGAAGCAGGATCAACTTGCCCACATTCTCTGAACGTGTGGGGGGGTCTACATCATCTTTTCTGGTGATGACACAGCAGCATGAGTGGGTTACATGCACTAAAATATGAGGATTGATTGAATTCTACAATGAATAAGCAAAAAAATTGCTCCATGCTTTAGAACAGGGTCTCATTTAAACCCCTGCTGTGAGGCTTTAACAAAGAAAGAGCACTCTGTAACAGTTTGCTACTGGACAAGCTGCACATCCCCAGACATTCAGATGTTTGGAAAAGATCCCAGTCAAATCCCAAACCAACCCTGGCAGTGATGGTCCCGTGCTTCTCTCCCTTGTTGTTGATCAGGCGCACTCCAGCTGAGGTGAACATCTCCTTCATCTCTGCTGGGGTGGCCGTGGTGGCAAAGTCGATGTCCTGCGGGGTCACCCCGCTGAGCAGATCCCTCACGGCACCCCCTGCTATTCTCAGCTCATAGTTCTTCTTCTCAAACAGCTCTGGGAAGGAAAGAAAAACCATAAAGCATCATCTTCCATAAAACCTCACCTGCCTTCTCACTGATCATCGTCACAGACGTGGGAATACACACTCAAATGTGCAGCAAGTACCTCCCAGCTTCATGCACAATGCCCTAATTAGGGGCACAGCTGGGCACCCAGTTATTTTCCCTGCCGTTTGATATATTTTTTTTTTTCTGGAGCATTTTTGATGACCTAAATATTGGCAGGTTGCTGATTGATACTGGGGGGTATGGATCCTTTTAGGGGCTGACATGGGAACAGTGCTCAGTTTACTTACGGCAGAGAGAGTGAACTGTGAACCGAATTCCTCCAGGAACAATACAGAACCATGGAATCACAGCCCACAGAGGGGAAACTGAGCTCTGCCTCGTCCCTTGAGACAGGCTGGGAGAGCTGGGGGTGTTCAGCCTAGGGAAGAGAAGGTCTGGGAGACCTGAGAACCCCTTCCAGTGCCTAAACGGGCTTAAAAAAAAGGCTGGGGGGAGACTTTTTATGAGGGCATGGAGTGACAGGACAAGGGGCAATGGCCTTAAGTTGAAAGGTAGATTTAGATTGGATTTTGGGAAGAAATTCTTGCATGTGAGGGTGGTGAGGCCCTGGCACAGGTTGCCCAGAGAAGCTGGGGCTGCCCCATCCCTGGGGCAATAAGCATGCACAAATAGAGTTAACACACTGAATAAATATATATTCCCTCTATTTGATGTCCAAGGAGTGAGCAGTGAGCTACTTAAGGAGTATCAGTGCAAATAATACAAATATTATTATTAGTGCATGTAATTATAAGGGAAAGCAGTAAGTACAGGACAAGAGGGGGGATAGCTTTAATCTACGAGAGGGGCAATTAAATTAGATATTAGGAAGAAATCTTTCCCTGTGAGGGTGGGGAGGCCCAGGCTGCCCAGAGAAGCTGTGGCTGCCCCATCCCTGGGAGTGTCCAAGGCCAGGCTGGAGCACCCTGGGCTGGTGGAAGGTGTCCCTGCCCACGGCAGGGGGTGGCACTGGATGGGCTTTACGGTCCCTCCCAACCCAGACCATTCCCCGACCCATCCCCTTGCTCAGGGACCCCACAGACACCCCTCGATCCCCTGCACTCACCGGCCACGCTGCGCAGCCCGGGCGTGAAGAGCGCCTGGAACTGCGGCGCCTGCAGCCTCATGGCTCCTCCGCTCCCGCCGCTCCGCAGCCCCGGCCCGGCCCTGCGGGGCACAACGAGCGCCTGAGCCCACAGGGGAGCCCACAGGGGTGCCCGCAGGAGCCCCCGCAGCTGCCCCCACATGCCCCGGCCCCACTCACCCCGCAGGACGCGGCTCCCCCGCCCGGCGCGGCCCGATGAGCTCAGCGCGCCCGGCCCGGCCCTCAGGGCGGAGCGGGGCGGGGCAGCCCGGGCTGAGCGGGCGCTGTGGCATAGACCTGTGCAGAAATGTGGTAAATTAAGACTTTCACACCCACACAGTCTATTTCACACTCACAGTCCATCGGGCTGGGATGGAGAGACCTTAAACTGGCTTTCCAGTGCTTAAATTTGGGGGCTTATAAAAAAAGAGGGAGTGAGTTCTTACATGGACGGATAGGACAAGGGGGACGGGTTCAAGCTGAAAAAGAGTAGGTTCAGATCAGATATTAGCAAGAAATCCTTCCCTGAGAGGGTGGGCAGGCCCTGGCACAGGATCCCAGAGAAGCTGCGGCTGCCCCATCCCTGGGAGAGGCCAGGCTGGACGGGGCTTGGAGCACCCTGGGCTGGTGGGTGGAATTGTTTGTCTCTCTTCAGTTTACTATTATTCTCCAAATTTGGAGATTATTATTCCCCAAATCCCCAGATCTTGTTCTGCGGAGCAGACACCTAATCAGGGATAATTGATTACTTATAGCTACCAGTGTACAGCTGATAATGCCTGAGTGTAGTTGAGATCTTGTCCACGTTGAACTACACCCATTTCCACCAATTTGGCAAGGACGTTCTTAATGCCAGTATTAACCCCCAAAGCACTCACCTCTCCCACCTGGTGTCACCGGCACACTTAGTAGGGATCTCTGTACTTGCGACCCAGTTTATTAATGAGTGTGTGTCATTAGCCTTTTCCTCATCCTTCCTATCACTCCATCACGTAGAGCCCCACTTTCTGTGGGATCTTCCCTGGGCCCTTAGACTGGCTTCTGTGAGCCTTTGTTACCATCAGAGAATCATAGAATGGTTTGAGTGGGAAGGAATCTTAAAGCCAATCCGTTCCACCACCTGCCATGGGCAGGGACACATTCCACAAGCCCCATCCAAGGTGACCTTGGACACTTCCAGGGATGGGGCATCCACAGCTTCTCCGGAAAACAGAGAATTATCCGACCCACTGGATCACAGCTCACAGCTCCCAGCACGAGGTTAGGAACCTGGTGTTTTGGTCCTGGTAACTTCTCAGAATGCTACTGGTGTCTACATGGCTCTGTGGGAAGAGCGTTGGTGTAAAAACATTGGACAAAACCTGCAGAGTTTCCCAAAAATGTTTGGGTGGGATTTTCTCCATGAAGAACAAATCGTGTCATCAGCAGTGTGACTCTGGGTCATTTCTCTGCAGTCGGTCAGCACCTTCTTTGCCACATTGCAAAGTCATTAGAGAACTGTCAGACCATGGCATACAATTAACCCTCCATCAACAGGGTGAACCCATTGCTGGGCCAAACTGTGAGCCTGTGTGGAGGTTCCACCCTGCGCTCAGCCCGTAGTTCCCTTTTTCAGTGCGTGCTTATCTGACTTATCTGCCATCGCTTCTGGGGGATCCCATTTGTGCTTGAAAGGCAGCAGTTATAAAGGAACCCCACGTGGAGATGACCCAGGGGACGCTGAACAAACGGAGCAGGCTCTTCCCAGGACTTGTGAGAGTCCACAGGTAACCCCCGGGGTGTCTGTTGTGGTTTGAGTTTGTCCTGTCGTGCTTGCTTTGAACGCTGCAGAGATCCTGCTTTTCAGTCGGTTTGCACTGGGAAAAGCACCTGGAATTTGCTCCTGCCCCGTTGCTTGTGAGGCAGTGGGACACAGCAGCTGTGAGGGAGAAAATCATTCCCTTCCAGAGGCTGTTTTATATGGCTTGGATTCCTGCTGTCCTCTTAAAAGGAGTATATTGGCTCTACAAAAAGAATATCCCCTTAACCTTCTGCTTATTACTTTTTACCATATATAACCAAAACATAATCAAGACTTCTATTTGTCCTGAAAACTTACTACATCCATTTTTTGCGAGGAGCATAATCCTCTTGTAGACTTCCAGTTATCGTTTTTACTTGTGTATGCTTATTTTTTTATCTTTTCAGCAGTTTCTCACATGAAACAGGGAGGGTATCACAGACGACAGTGTGTTCTTAGAGGTTAGACTTACATACCTGCAGGAATATCTCTTCCAAAAGCTGTGGTTTAAGCCTTAGTTTGGCAGCAAGAAAAAAAAAATAATGGTGTTTTTACAAACAAAGCAGGATAAGATAAACTGACAAGAACAGGGTTGTGAGTAAAGACTAATCTGCATTGCAGGAACATTTTATATCTAGTTTTAAATAGTAATGTGCTGCTCAGAAAATCTGAGGTCTGTGTCTAATACGTGCAGGCTTTTAGGCAGCGAAAACACCTTTGAAAAGCTGAGCTTCAGGATCTTTTTGAAAGTAAAAAGGGAAAAGAATGTGCCCAGGAAGAATCAGAGCCCTTACTTTCTGAAGACAAAGTAAAAAAAAAAAAAAAAAATAAATCTCTAGGCAGCCAAACCCCCTTTAAATAAACCCAAGGGACAGCCAGCTTTTCTAGCTGTGTTAAAGCCCTGAAACCAATGCACTGACATTATTCAAGTCAGTGGATGTGAAGCCTGAGCAGCTGTAAAACATGAATTTTTTAAAGATTTCATTTTAAAAATAATTTAAATATACTTTTAAGCATTTTTTTGAATCAAAGGTTCTTGAAGCAGCAAAGTCTGATGCCAGTAATTTGTTCCAAAGCATGTTGGGAATCTGTGCCATGTTCTATCCATTTTTTTACATGAGTTTTTTTCCAGGAAAGCAGTACAGGAGTGGCAGAGATCAGGTGCCTTTGCAAACCTGTGTCCAGTCCACATAATGCCCTCCAGAAGGACATCATCATGTTGTGCAAGTGCAAAAAGCCCAAAGAACAGATTTTTTTTCAGGGAATGGTAATGCCTGGGAAACGGTCCTGGAGGCATTGTGTGTTGTAAGGAATATTTATCCCGTTTTCTGTGAGCCACTGCAATTGTGGAAGAACCAAAATGTCTTTTCAATCAGCCAGCGCGCACAAAACCCAGCCCTGGCTCCCCAGCAAGGTCCCTTGGCAAACTCCAGGGGCTCAGCTGGGCTCCTGCACGTGTGGGCTGGAAGAAAAGCAGACACAGAACGTGAATGTAGATAATGAGGAGGCTTGGACATTAAGAAACACGCTGTATTGGGGATTGTGTGGCATTTTAATGAACTCTGCACTCATGCACCGCTTTGAAAAATAGTTCCTGTAAAGCAGAATTGCTCCAACTGTGATCAATCGGATCATAACTCAGTCCCTGGGTGATTCATTGGAGGTTCAGGGAGAACTGATGGGTTAAAGATGCTTTCTCTGCTCATTACCATTGGAAAATATTATGTTTTCCATACCAGCAATTGCTGTAGTGCCCCAGGGAAGGAGTGAGATTGGGCCAGGAGGGCGTATTTCTCTTCAGGAAGAACATTTTGGAAAGCTGCTGTTCTGGATGTCCCTATTTATCTTGGGTTACACATGAGTGATTACACACAGATTTTTTTTTTTTCCTCCCAGTAATTCATGAAACAATCCATAGGAAGCACAAGAACGTGCTGCTTTTAGGCATTAAAAAGAGTTGTTCATTTAAATTAGAAACAAACAAAACCAGTTTCTCCTACACCCAATAATTAACACTGAAGAATTAGCCTTGAGGTGAGCCCTGACTGCATCTTTAGAGAGCTTTACTGAAATAGCAGCTAGAAAGTAAATTCCAGTGAGGAGCTATTTTATATATCTAGTGGCAGCTAAAAATATGGTTATTTCTGTTCTTGGAGGAAATGGGACTGTGCTGAAAGCCCATCTACCTGAACCCAACACACTCCTCTCCGTGGAGAAATGCTCTGATTCTGTGACTGCTCTGAACATCCCCACACCACAGGGCTTGGAACCAGCAGCTCTTCCAGAGAGGGCTGGGAGAGGCAAAGGGAGCAAAATGAAATGTCTTGGTGGTACTTACATTAAATTTAGCTCTTACAGGGAGCATTTTCCTACAAGGAAAGAGGGCTCCACCCCTGCAGTTTCCCTCTTTTGATCATGTGGAGGTTTTTTGAGTGCTTAACCCTTAGGATTGTGTTCATTTTTTGCTCCCAGGCTCTGTGAAATGGTGACGAGGCACGTCTGCTGATGCCTGGCCGTGCTCGTTCACCATCCTGAGATGAAGGCCAGCAGGATGCAGGTGTGTCTGATCCTCCTCTGGACAACCAACTCAGCTCAGCCAAACTCAGCCCAAGCTGCAGGAGGTGAGGTGTTTCCTTCTGCCAACGTGTAGCTTTAGCACCAGAGGGTGTCCAAATGTGTTGGCCACTGTTCTGCAGGGTCCATGGATGCCATGAGTGCTGGATCATGGAGAACACACTTCCTGGGATAGTTGTATCCCATCCCACATTGCTCCCAGCCTCTGCCTCAGGACTGTTTGGCTTTGAGAGGGAAGATCCATGGAGATGCCACTTGTGCCGTTGTCCTCTGGGCTGGGCACTTCAGCGGGGGTTGTGTTGGTTTTCTGAGCCTTTCTGGGGCACTGAATTCAGGGTTATCAAAAGCTGAAATTATGGGAGAAGAGAAGTGGGGGCTGATCATGGAATCCCAGAGTGGTTTGGTTTGGAAGGGATCTTAAATCTCTTCTCATTCCACCCCCTGCCGTGGGCAGGGACACTTCCACTGGACCAGAGTGTTCAGAGCCACATCCAACCTCACCCTGAACACTTCCAGGGATGCTGATGGCCCTCAGTTGCCTTGGAAATGGCAAATAAGGGAGGACAGGCTCAGAAGAACTAGAGGGGAGCAGATTGATTATTTCCCTGCCTTGCCATTTCTATGCTAACATTTCCCCCAGCATGAGATCCTCCTCATTTCCATGAGAGCTCCAGGAATCCCTCTTGCCCTGTCATTCTAAATTATCATTCTCATCCTTCTATGTTTGGTTTTTTTTTTTTTTCCATTTGTGCTTAATTCCTCTGTTCATCATTTTGTTTCTACTCTTGTGGCTGTCAACCTTCTCTTAGAAAGCCCCCCATGTTATGCTCCTCTGGAAGCTTCTGTGGGTCAGAATTGTTTGTACCCTCCATCAGCTCTGTTTCTATCTGACTGTGTGGCAATGAGGGCCAAGATGAAAAATCTGAGCCTAATTAACCAGCCAAATGCAACACATCATATTAATCTTCAAGTTGAAACTGTTGTAAACCTCCATTTTTTAAAGCTCAGTTTTAAGTAAACTCTTATTTGATGAGGTTTTGGTTATTTAAAGGTATTTTTCAACTATTAAAAACATTTTATAAAAAGCTGTTGAGAGAATATGAAATGGAAATGAAATTATTAGCTTGTCTTGCTCCCTGCTTGCAAACAGGTATCACTCCAAACGATTCCCTGGATTGATGTGCCATGAATATTTCGGTTTTCTCCCTTCCAGTTCAGGTTTTCCCACCTGTAAACTTCACCCTTACAGTCTCTGCATTAGCACAAGTCCTGCTACACTGGGAACCAAACCCTGACCAAGACCAAGAGAACTACACCATCAGATACGATGTGAGGATCCTCTGCCCTGTGCCTGAAGAGGTAGGAGAAATAAATCAAGTATCCTGAGAAGGCTAAATTCCTGTTGTTCTCTTAAACTTTGAGCCCTTAATGTCTGGATCAGTCTTGGCAGGTGCTTTAATTCAGCTTCCACCCCATGGGGGGCTTGTTTGCTGTTTTTGATTCCAAGTATGACACCGGGAAGACCCACAGCGTCCGAACGGTCGCGCTCCACAACGGCTTCTCCGCACGTGTCCGCACCTTGCTTCTCCATGACGACCTTCAGATGAGAAGTGAGTGGGTGAAGGAAAACCTCCCCCCTCTGCCAGGTAAGGGGAAACCCAGGGAAGGCCTGCATTTTGTGTTCTGCCCCAGACAGCAAACGGTGAAAGGTTTAATGCTTCAAAAATGCAACATTTCCCCCCACCCCCCAACCTGCTACACTGATCTTATGAAAGGATTTAATCCAGGACTTTCCCTTCTGCTGTGGGGCCTGGAGGACAGGCTGGAGGTGCAGAAAATGGATAACACGTATAAAATGTTCTAAAAGTTCCTTGCTAAGGCTGAGATCACCTCCTGTGGTGCATTCCAGGATATTGTTGCCTTATCACACCTTAAATTTATGGTGGTACTGTGTAAGTAAGATTTACTTACACGGTTTGGGGATCCCCACCCATCCATAACCAAGAGAACTGGAACAACAGACACACAGAGAAGAGACCAAAGACTGCAATCAGAGTGTTTCAGCAGCATGAATTTCTCCTGATTTTTGCAGTAAGGTTTTCCTCCTGCTCTGTGATTCCTTGACTGTCCAGGTGCTCCTGAGACATCCATCACCAATCTGTCGTGTGTCACTCACATCACCCTTTCTGGGGCTGTCTCGCTGCACTGCTCGTGGCTTCCTGGCCCAGGGGCACCACAAGACACCGAGTACTTCCTATTTTACAGGTTGGTGTTTCCCCCTTTACACCCAGCAGGGAAGATGCTCTTCAGGAGCATCACATCTCACAAGCATTTCAATTTAGGTACAAGAACTACACCGAAGAGTGTCACAGCTATGGCAGAGACAGGTGGGACAGGAACACCGAGTGCAGCTTTCCAGGGACTCACATTGATCCTGAGGAGGTTGATGATCTCATAATCCACGTTAATGGGTCCAGCAAACGGGCTGCCATCAAGCCTTTCCAGCAGCTATTTAACCAGAATGCCATTGGTGAGTTTAATACATTTTAAAAAAAATACATTAAAAACTGTCTACCAGGATTATCAAAAGATTTGTGAGAAAATACTACTGGATTCAATTATTCTGGATGAAGGTGAAGTGCTGGTTTTGTACAGACATCTTCATGAAATTGGAAGAGATTATAAGACAGAACTGGATTGTTTAAACCAAATTTGATTTGAATGACTTATTTTAAATTATAGAATGACAAAAATAAAAGCCAGAAAAGACAGTTATTCTGGTTTTTTTTTTAGCAAATGCAGTGCTTCCAATATTAATTGGCAGCCAATGGAGTCAATATACCTTAAAATACAGTTTTTACTACCCTTTATTTAGCAGCCTTTCTTTAAAAGAAAAAGAACATGATGCTCAAGATAACCATGCTCTTTTAAAGAAAGGCATTATCCTGTCAAATAAAGGACAGTCTCAGCCATGACTGTCCATCATCTTCCATCTACACAAATAATTTATTTTCCCTCGTTAGTTCAATGTCCTTTTTTTGGGAACAGACAATATTTCCCTTTTTCACTAAGAGGAAAATGCACATATTTTCTTCTTAGAAATCAGCCCCATAATAGGTGCTGATCCATTCCTTTGAATTTATTCCACTTTTCAGTAACTTTCCTGGCTATACCTCTTTGCTTTTTTTTCTGAAAAGAAGTTTTTTTTCTAACAGTTCTATCATTAATTTAACACTTTTGTGAAAATTAATTTAATAAATCCCCTCCTCTCCCCATAATGGAGTTGTCCAAAACTTTTCAGTGGACTTTCCAAACCGTTTTCCCACAACTATTTTCTGCAATGTAGTTATTCCTCCCAAATCCTTATCTTTTCTGCCCAAAAGGTGCAATACATTCAAGAATTATAGGTGCTACTGGGAAACACCATCAGGTTTTAGAATGCTCCAGCTGTCAGTATTTAAACTTTGCTCTATAAATAACTTACCAGTGCAGTTTTCTTCCGTAGAGAAAGTGAATATTCCCAAAAATATCACTGTATCCTTGGAGGGAAACGATCTCCTGGCCACCTGGGAGAAGCCAATTTCTCTTTTCCACGAGGAGTGTTTTGAATATGAATTTTACCTCATCAACCTGAAGTCAGGTAACAAGCAGGTAAATTGCTCCTCTGCCACTCCAGTATTATATCCAGCATTCCTGTCCTGTGCAGCTGCAATTTGCCTTTCTGGGGAAAAAACTCTTCAAATTCATGAGTGAGTTACAAATTTGAAATATTTAAAATAAAGCCTGCTATTACTATGTTTTTGAAACTGTGGACTTCTGGTGAAACTGGTTCCCATTTGTGATGGAAAACACAATAAAACCAAAGTCTCACCAGTTTTAATATTTTTCCTCTTTTATGTCTGCAACGAACTAGCCCAAAGAGACTTGGGAAAGCAGGAGGGACAAACTGGAATTATTCAGTTTTATGCATCTGGGTTCAGAACAGTTTTTACTGAAAATCTGAAAAAAAACCCAACCCAGATTTACTGAAAATCCTGCTGAAGTGTCTCAAGGAAGAATGTAAAAATGAGGCACCTTCCAAGAATTTGCCCTGAAATATTGGTGTGTTATGAGAGAAGTTAAACTACAAAAATAGAGATTTTTACCTCCAAAGCAAGGCCAGAAGCTCAGAGTTAATCTAGTGGAGCAGTTTTAAAAGACAAAAATATAAATGTGATCGATTTTCTGAATTGTTTAGGGATCTCTAACAACAGCACAATGTTATTTTCCTATCAGATCCTGAAATTATCCTCAAACAAATTCCGCCTGAGAATTGATGTCACCAGCAGATATTCCATCCAGATCAGAGCCAATCGTCACCCGTGGTGTGTGAGAGGAGTTTGGAGTGACTGGAGTGAAGTTATTTATGTTGGTAAGAATGACACACTTGTTGTAATGGCTGTTACTGCATTGCTGATTACCTGATCATGAGTTACACCAGGGAATTTTAACAGGAAGAAGGAAAAAACTGACTTGTTAATGCCCAGGGGATTTAAACCCTTGTTCCATTAAAAATTAAAAAAAACACCCTACTTCCAAACAAACTCTTGGAAATATGAAGGTTTTTTGAGTACAGTACTTCGCTTTCACCTGTGTATGTTTTCACAGGCTGCTTTAAACTTGCCTTTAAATTAACTTCTTTAGTTTTTACCTGTGTTTCTTTGCCATGAGACATGTCAGCTATTACTTACTGGAGCTCTCTGAACTCATGAATTTTTGGGGGGATAAAGGAGCACCTTTGGAACGTGCTCATCTGCCCCACTTGGTTCTGTGTTTCCTCCTTGCTGCAGAACTTGGTCTGGCAAGAACAGTTCCTTTATCAGGGCACGTTATCAACTGTTTGTTCTTAGACATCCTCCTTTGCTCTTATCTTGAGTTTCTTAACTTCCTTGTTTCCACTTAGAAAAAGTCTCTTACGCTCCCCTGTTTACTACACTTTCCCGCCTTAGATCTGTTTTCTGGTGAGTGCAAATCTGCAGGTGTTTTGCCTCCTTTCTTCCAGACCCCCCCTTCAAGTTCCCACCTGGCTCACATAGCAAATATGGAAAATCCATTCTGATGGTTGAAAAAACTGTTAGCCTTCCATAAAAGTTTACTGAAATCTCGACAGTATCCAAGGGCACTTCATTTTTTTGTTACAAAAAGAGAGTTTTTTTAGAGGCTTGTAGTTCACTGACACAATCCTGCATGAGTTATTGCGTTGCAGGATGTGCTCCAGCCACTCTCATTAGTGGTGGTCACTGAACATCTGCATTCTGCTCACAGAGAAATCCCTGAGGAAACATATCAGCAACCAGCTGAAAATTGGGGGGGGTTCAGTGTCTTTTTCACAGGTAAATTTAGGGAGCTGAAACTGGAAAGTCACTTCATGGAAACTCCTCATGAAGCTCTGGTGTGGCATTTCTTATTCTACATTGCATGGTAATTTGTGACCTGAGCACAAGCACATAAAACAGCTGATGAAATATTTTAGAAGAATGTGCTTAAAATAATCTGCACTAAAACAATATCTTTAATTTATTTTTTTTTTCCCCTTGAAATTCAGGGCAAAACAAACTGGAGGGTTCTGTGTCCTGGATTCTCACTGTGCTTTGTGTGTCCACGTCCTGCACGTTCCTGCTTGTCACTTTAATATGCAAAATGTGAGTACCCTCATCTTCTTTTTAATGACAGTGTAACTAAGGAACCAGGTGTTCAACAAGTGTGGGGGGATGCTACTAGTTTTGCTTATTTATAAGAAAGGTCACTGAGTTTGGTATTCAAGCATAATTATACAAAGCAAAAATACTGAATAAGTAATAATCAGCCTCATTAGGTTAATATCAATAATAACATTCAGCATTGGTGGGGTAAGAGGGTTATTCAATTTAATCCTAAACAAGAAACCCAGATCCTGAGAGAGGTGGAGTTATTAAGAATCTCTTTGTCCTTATCTCATTTCTTCGCTTTAATGCCTGGTTGGGTCTGTGATTTCCCCAGGAGGACTCTGTGTTAATCCCTGCTGAAAGAGCATCTTTCACAGCCAAAATGCACAGAGCACTGTTGTTTGCTTGGAGTATTTGAACTATTTATTTAGTTTATTTTTAATTATACAGAGGCTCTGGATGCCATATAACAAAGCCAGGGGCCATAGAACCAAACTCCCCAAACTGTGCTGTGAAGAAGCCCAGGTACACTTTGGATTCCCGTGGCTGTGACAAGTCAGATCAGAAGTGATGAATTAAGGAATTGGTGTAATTAGAAGCTTCTCCCCTGAAACATGCAGCAAGCAGCAATTATCAGCCCACAATAAACACAGCTCCCAGTAATGGAAGTGCTCTCCTCAACTCTGCTAATTTCTTATTCATTTCTTTAGTGCCTTTTAATTTGCTGGTCATCCTGATGTGTCCTTGACTATTTTCCTTTCAACACCCCATTTCCTTTATCAAATAAAAGTCTTGTCTACAGGAATGTTACAAAAGAACCACTGTTATTGCCTCTCCCTCAAGTGTCTGGTGTGTGTGTAACCCGTTCTTAAGGCAAGTTAATTAGCTCTCAGCAAGCAACCTTTTCTGGAACAAGACAGATTTCACTCCCCAGGGAGTTTATTCTTGTTCTGTGTCACACACACTTGTCCCCTCTATGCGGCCTTGATATATTGGTGAAACCCCCCAAACTGCTCTTACTTACATGCCTGATTCTTGTATGGATTGACCTGTGGCTCGAGATCCTCCACTGCTCCAGCAGCATCACCTTCAGCTCTCTCCTCTCAGTTTGGGGCAGCAGAACAGCAGCACCAGCTGGCAGCAGTCACACTGCTCCATCTTCTGCGAGTTCTGCAAGTGTTTGGATATTGTAGTTACCCCCTTTGGAGATCCTGCAGCAGATACAGGGGAGAAATAGGTACAGGGGAAGACTTTTGCTTAAGGACCAACTTGGAGAAGCTGCACTCATTTATTTTATAACTTCAATCCATTAGGCAAATGCAAGCTTTTCCAGCTGCTTGGTTGCTTCCAGGAGTTTCTAGCCTACAATTTCCTAGCACCCAAAGGCTCACTGCATTCCACCTTTGTCAACGTGATTCAGATTTTCCCTGCCTGCTGCACTGAGTTTCGTGGAGCTGCTGGCTTTGCTCCAGCCTTCCTCCTTCTCTAACCCCCACAGTGACTGCAGGCCCTGAAACGCTGACTAAAGGCACGAGGGTCCCCTGGGGTGTGTCCAAAGCCTGGAAGTCCAAGTGTTGCTGATGGAAAGGGCCCTGCTCTAACCTGCGTAGAGACCTGGCACACATTTTGTGACAAGATATTTAATCACGTAACTCCACCTTGCCAGTGACCTGCAAAAAAGACCAGGACCATTGTGAGGGCACTGCTGTCACCAGCCCTCCACGGCCTCACGGCCAAGTCACTTGCACCTGAGGGGCCCCCCTGGACGCAAATGTGCTTCTACCTCGCTTCTTTTGGGTGTTTGTCACCCCTCCTTAAATGTTCCTGTTCCAGAAGTGACGTGGAACTGATGCTTTCTGCTGACTCAATAAATCATTCTGGCATGGCTCCAATCAAAACCTTCTATTGACAAACAGCACGACTGGGAATGCACCAGTTCCAGAGAAAACCAAACCCTGTTGGGTACATTGCCCAGCACTGGCAGAAATCAGGGCTGAAATGAGATGTAGCTGAAATGGGCCTCTAGCCCTTCTGAAAAGTTTGGGAGAGCTGATCAAGTGTAGGGCTGTGAAGACAACAGTGCTTACAAAGCTGACCGGGCTCTGGGCACAAGACCTGACCCTGAGGAGGAAAGCTGGGCAGAATGGAGGTGATCCAGGTGCTGGAGTAATAATATTGGCACTCATCCTGCCCCACCCCTGAGTTATACCAGCAGCCACCTCACTGTCCCACCCCACTGGTGGTGCCCAAACTGTCACTTGTGCTCTGCACCCAACAGTGGCTCCACTGTGTTCAGCATTTCACCAGTGTCTCCCCAAAACACCTCACACCTACTCTTCCTCACCACATTCCCGCTTTTGGGAACTCAGGAAGCTTCTGGAGGAATAGTCCTGAGAAGATAAGCAGTGAACTAGCCAGACATCAGCCAGGAGGGTTGGCTGTTACAAAATAAATGGGGCAGAGGAGCAGATCTGCCCTTGGTCCCAGCAGCTCCACACCTTGGCCACATCTCTGCATCCTGGATATCAGAGTGCCCCACAGAACAGACCCTGGATGATAATCCTGGACTCAATCCTGTAGTCTTCACTCAGGCTGAGTTCCCACTCAACTCTGGCCCTGTTTGGACACGGTGCTGTGCAGGGAGGGGAGACAGGGAATGTGTTTTTGTGGGGATTGAAATGTGAGGGCTGTGCTCTGGGATGAATCAAAGACAAGAAGTTCCCCTGTAGCACCTGCTATCACAAAAATACCAATGTCTGTGTGCTGGGCCAGACTGGGGAGTGTCAGGCAGGGAAGGGGGATCTCAGAGGGTGTTAGTAGGATGAGTTATTACAGCACTCAGCTGAACCATTTACTGTCAGCTACCTCTGGGGCCTTTCCTGCCTCCTCCTCGTTCCCTCGGCACACAATTATCTGCAGTTGCTCTCCTGCCATGAGACACAGGCACTTTATGTCCAGAAACCAAAGTCTGAGCAAGAGGCAGCTTGTCTTGACTGTCCAAACAAGGTACATGACAACACAGCCCTTGGGAGGAACACGAGCGTGAACAGACAGATCAGAGCAATTAATTTCTCTCCCAGACAGGCCTGTTGTCGCTAAAAGCCCCGGGAATGCCCCTTGGATCGGACCAGCTACAGCTGTGATGGGAGAGGCTGATGGGGGAGAGCATCACCCATCTCCTCCCTGTCACCCACATGTCCCCAGGGCCCAGAAATGAGGAGCAAACACACCTGCCTGGTCCCCACTGATGGCCCATTATCCATGACTGTGACCCCTGCTGAACCTGCTGCTGCTGTCAGATGCCAGAGATGGGAGGGGGTGAGGAGACATGTCTTCTCCTGGGGCTAAACATGTTCTGCTTCTTGGATACGTCATCCATCAGAGAGAGCAGTTCTTTCACATCCCTCCACTGCTGTTTTTTGCAGAAACCGTGTCTGGAGCAAACTGTTTCCACCAATTCCAACACCCAGCAACAAATTCCCAGATCCCTTCCCAGTTGACTACGAGGTAAAATAATATTTTAGTCACTTTTTTTTTGTTTGTTTTTAAACTAGAAGGAACGCTTGTGTCTGTGTGCTACTCTTTCCCTCTAAGGCTGGGAGCAAAGAGAATCACAGAATCATTAAGGTTGGAAAAGACCTCCAAGAGCATCAGGTGCAGGCTTTGACCTGCCACCACCAGGCCCACTAAACCACAGAGCCTCTTCCTGCCCACTTAAAGCCTTTTGACCTCTTGGAAATTCTAATGTCCATAGCAAATGTGGGCTCTGGGGTCAAGTGTTAAAAGCCAACAAAAGGATTAAGTGCTTTGCTAATATGCAGCGAATTTCAGGCACCTGTTCCATGCCTCTGGCTCTGCCTTTTGTAGGGAATTACAGTTCCTCCAGAGCCAGGCAGAGAGCTCTGCCTTGGCAGGGACAGGAGGGTGACTCCCGGAGAGCTGATTTATTTTGTTCAACCTAGCAAGCTGAAATGTTTTGCTCCCACTGTTAAGCTGGACTTAAGCCTTATTATATTTGCTGTTACTTCTGATAAATACATTTGCCTTACAGATAGGATAAACCCCCTCATTGTCTGCTCATGGGAAGTGCAACTTGATTTTCATTTGTCCCCCTTCGAAAAGGGGTTTGATTTTTTTGGATGTGGTTCTTACACCGTGATCTGGTCAAGGAATCAGGCTTAAAAGATTATCTTACACTGTTTGTTTTAAATTAACGCCACGGGTGTAAAATAACAACTCGGGGCATCACAAATGAGAATATGAGAAATAGCAAATATTAACGCTGCAGCTGGAAAATGGGAGCTGTTTCACATCGTCATCATCATCAGAACTGCTTTAAATTTGGTTGTCTCTTTACTTAAAGGGAGCTGGGTGTGGGCAGGTGATACCAGCCTGTGGCCACAGGGGCAGTGGCACCAGCAAGGAGAGTTGAGAACATGGCCATTGTGTGTGCAGAGGTCACCAGGGAGAGTGAAACCCTCAGAGCTGTTTGTTGTGGACATTCAGTTCCTGAATTGGCAGCGTAAACAACAGGGTGAGGTGATGAAAGCCCTGCACCGTGGTGGCCACGTGGCCCGTGGGAACCTGCTCGTCCCCCAGGAGCTGCTCTGCTGCCCTTGGGGGCTTCCCAGCAGCAAAACTACTGCTCAGCTTCTGCTGCCTTCTGCAGGTCACCCCAGCCCTGCACTTCTGCTTGTGCAACTCTGCTCAGTGCTGAGGGGTCAGGATGTGGCCCAACAAGTGGGCTTTGCTGCTGTGTATTCAGAAGAGTTCACACCATACCTCACACCCTGCTCCTCCACTGACTGAGTGGCCAGGGAAGTGATGGAGTCCCCATCCCTGGAAGTGCCCAAAACTCCAGTGGATGTGGCACTTCACGATAGAATTTAGTAGGAGTGGTGGTGTCAGTCAAAGGTTGGACCTGATTATCTTGGAGGTCTTTTCCAGCCTGAGATGGTTCTGTGCCCTTCTGCTCCTCCTGGGGCTCTGTGTCCATGGCTACAGAGGGGTGTCTGGTGGCCATCATGGCCAACTGGGTTGTGTAAAACACAGGGAATCTGTGGGTGCAGGGGTTTGTAAGCCATGCCCAGGGACAATCTGTGGGTGCAGGGGTTTGTAAGACATGCCCAGGGACAATCTGTGGGTGCAGGGGTTTGTAAGCCATGCCCAGTGACAATCTGTGGGTGCAGGGGTTTGTGAGACATGCCCAGTGACAATCTGTGGGTGCAGGGGTTTGTAAGCCATGCCCAGGGACAATCTGTGGGTGCAGGGGCTGCTGGCCTGTGGGACAGAGTGACGCAGAGCAGCCCTGCGAGAACTTCAGCAGGAGCAGGAAAATTCTCCCGTTGAACCCAGTGCTCCTTCTCAGCTCTTACCTCACACAACACTGGGTGTGAATCCCTCTTTAAATGCACCAAGATTGAAGCAGCATGTTGTCCATGAACTCTGCCCCAGCCCCAAGCTCCAGCTCCCAGCTCACAGTGGGGTTTGCTTTCCAGAGGGCACGGACCTGCACCAGCGACACGGAGACCGAGTTCAGCAGCCTGGCTGAGGATCTTTACTGCAGAGCCCTGGATGACTCTGTCTTCTGAGAGGCTGCTCCCTGTCACCTCCACGTGTCCACATTCCCAACAGGAAGGAGGAGTTGCTTCCACGAGGTGTCTCGTGAAGCCTCCCAGTGCTCTCCTCCCTGGTGCTGCACGGCTGCAGCAAGTCCAGCACGAGAGTGGGATCCACGTTTGGCCTCACTGATACACTTTGCAATGAAACAAATCTGAATTTCAGCCTGGAAAACCTCCATGGAAATGCAATTCCTTGCTAAAGGCAGGGCTGCCAGTGCTCTGTGGGAGCCCTGAGGGTGCAGCCAGGCCACTCCTGTTCTTACCTGGTTTTCTTACCCTTCTGGATGAGGGAACACTGTTGGGATGGGGAGGCTCTGAAGGAGCACCTCCCTCCCCAGGGACATCATCAGGACTCAGGACACTCCCAGGGGGCTCATTTTCAGGCCAAGGCTCCTTTGCAGGCTCTTGCCTCTGACATCACAGGGAGCATCTGCAAAAGGACAAGAGGGATTTGTTGGGGCTCCCTGGCACGAGAGATTAAAGCTCGAGGGGCAGGGAGGAAAGAAAAAAGAGAGAAAAATGGTACAAACAGATAAACTCCCTCAACTGCACCTGAAAAACAGACCCAACTTGGGAATGCAGTTTTCAACACTCATTAAAGAAATGGGCCAAGGACTTCTTGGTGCTCTGCAAGGAGCTGGGCCCCTCCTTGGTGGGCAATTTCAGCAATTCTGAAAATCCAAGCCCAACACTGGAACCTACTTATCCTTTCTGTCTGTTGTTGTTCCATCTCAGATGAGCTGGGTTTGAGCCAGCCTGGGTTTCTGTTTGGGGTTTATTTCCCTACCTTGTGTAATCCACTGAGGGAGTTGCCAAATAAACCTCCTGCCTTAAACCTCGGGCTTTGACCTCCTTGGCTGCAGATCATGAAGTTCTCCTGGTCCTGCAGAGTCCCTTCTACTTCCAGGAAACCTCCTGTCCACTGAGCTGGCCAGAGATGGGTTCAAGCGCATTTATAAAGACTTAATCCAGCAATTTTTTGGAATGTGCCTGAAGAAATGGAGTTGCCAGGTACTACAGACTAAAAATAATTATAATAAATGAGCCAGTTCTCATCTGGGTAAAATAGCATGGCTCCATCAAAACTAATGTAGCTCATTAATCTAACAAAGTTTGTGCCTCAAATGTCTCTCCTGCACGTGCTTTTAATGGAGGTACCCAAATTTAACAACCTAAAATCAGAATTTCATTAGTCAAATCCTAAAAATGAGACTAAAGAGAATCCTTTTATTGGAATGTATTTTATATCATGCCTTCAAGTGGCCTAATAAAGAAGATTTCTACATATCATTTCACTCCCATTAATGATACTGCAGAGATTAATGCAATGTATTTAAATATATTTTTGCATGTCAGGACCTTGGTACTTCCAGGGAGGGAGGATGAGTCCCCTCCTGAAGGACAGGCAGGATGGCTTGGAGGGCCAGCAGCCAGTCTTGTACTCGTGCTGGTAAATAATGCTGGTGCAAAGCAGGGGAATCTTCATTTTCCCTGCCAGGCTGTTGGCCCAGAGAAGCTTTGGCTGCCCCATCCCTGGAAGTGTCCAAGGCCAGGTTGGAGAACCCTGGGCTTGTGGAAGCTGTCCCTGACATGGCAGGGGGTGGGATGAAGTATCTTCAAGCTCCCTTGTATCCTCACATCAGTGACAGTCTCAGCAGGCACTGAGGTGGAATTTCTCACTGAGTAGAACGAAACATGGAGGAAAAAGGCTCCTGGAAGACAGGTATCTTTACAAATGACAGAATATTTATTACCAATACCTTTAAAAAAAGATTACATCTGCTAGATCACTGATAAATATCATTTACACCGGGGAGAAAACTACAGCAGCTTTTTTTTTTTTTTTAAACGTCATTTTTCTTGGTTTTGTGGTTTTTTTTTGTTTTGTTTTTCTTATTTTATTTTTTTTTTTACATAGAAGTAACCATATCAAACTAAGAAAGGAACACAGCTTGAAATACTGACAATATTTCTCTGGTCAACACCCCTGACTTTTACACAAGTGGAATCCTGATTATGAGTTACTGAATAAATATATTTAGAAGGTCTAAAAGTTAACTGTAGTATTTTGTAAGCAAAAAAGACAAGTTACAGGCAAATTCAAGCTATCAGGAAAAAAAAAAAAAGAATAAAATATACCACTGCAGCGCATTGAAACTTGAAAATTGTATAGAAAATTCCGTTGCCTTTGACCAGCGTTTTCCCTTCTGAGCGAACTTACAAAATTCCCCCGTAGTAGCAAACAGTCCTTCCCTTAAGAAGAGTTTTTCCATGTGGATATTGTGGTTTTCCAGCGGGGCTCTGCTGCCTGCAGGTGGCCTGTGAAGAGTTTCTAGAGAGACTTCTGGGAGGTCCCAGCTCCCCTTGGATAGGAGCGACTTCCCCCGGCGCTGTCCAGCGTGGAATTCCGGTGGGTGGTGAGTCGTGTTCCAAAGGAGCAGCCTTTGGGCTCTGATTTCCTTGGAATGGGATCCCCAAAGCGAGGTGGAGGCAGAGATCCCACCCTTGCAGTCCCTTCATCCCTTCCCAGCTGGATGGGGACTGTGGTGAAGCCGAAGCTATTTCGAGGCAGCAGAAATGCCAGAACGGTCTCTGCGTGTCCACAACCAACCAGCATTCCTGGGTTTTTGCAACGTCAGGACGTTCTGAGTGTTTCAGGTTTGTCCTGCTCAGACCTGTGGATCGAACACACCACCCTGTGTGTCAGGAGCACGTGGTGGAACACGAGAGTCACTGGAACTGCCACCGAACTCAGCCGTGTCATAACCCAGCTCCGGGTCGGTCCTGCCTGGTGTGGCCTCGTAAAACTGTACAGTGAACGGGCAGCCAATTTACTGAGAACAACTTGGAGCTCTCCATCGTAAAGGAAAAAATTCCAAACAATATTTCCTGTGGTTGTGTCGTCCGTAGCGTTTTAGAGCAGAGGAAAAAAATTAATATCTACATCATATGTTAACTTTAAAAAATTCTATAAAACACTAAATATATAATAAAAAATATGCATATAAGGACATATGTAAACTGCTTTGGTAACATCATATTACAGATGTTTTCAGTGCATTGCAGAGTTTCCAAGGAAACTTCAGACAAAGCTATATTTGCTTTGAGGAAGTACTGTATAATGCCATTCCTAAAGAAGCATAAACATTTTTTTTTTTTTTTTTGTTTCCAGTAGTAAGATGTACTCAAACCACAATATTACTTAGTACTGGGTGTCTTCAAAACAACTAGCTAAATGTTGCTTATATTATCAACAAGAAGTCCTGGGTGTCATTTTTGTCATAAACTGGAGCGGGCTGTGAGCGAGATCATTATCGTGCTGATGGCTGACAGGGTGCAGGCGCTGGAGGTCGACGAGCCTCGGGCATAGGCATCTGAGGAGAGAGGGGATGGAGAGAGGGAGAGAGGGGAGGGAGAGTGGGAGAGGGGAGAGAGGGAGAGAAGAAGCCCCCAATGAGCAGAGAACTCACATAACCTCTCCAACTGAATTTTTGGTCCTGGAGGAGCCGTGTCCCTGCTCGGTGACCCACAGCCTTGAGCCAAATCAGAGCTGGCAGGTGTTCCAGCTCTCCTTCCCTCTCCTGTGCCTGCTGATTAAATTCCTCTGCATGGTTTAGACAGCCACAGCGGAGAGAATTCTGCTCTCACCCAGGGTTTTTTTACATCGCTGTAATTTTAATGCCATATTCCTGCATTGCAGAGGCTCCTGATTTAATGCAGCTTATAAACTGGGCCATTATTAATGGAAGATGGGACATGGAGATTTTGCAAAAGCCATGTTGTGTAATAAAATACTCTTTCTGTTTGTTCTTCTACACAACCTCATTTCCCTAAATAAATATTTATGCCTCCAGCACACAATGGGATATGGCTATACAGTAGCCTTATAAATTTAAAGGCCTCCAACACTGCATTTTGTATTTGGTTATAGCAAATTGCAGTGAAACAATATATTCAACCTATATATGAGTATGGAAGGGAGAGAGTGCAAACTGTCTAGAAACCTTAAATACAAATAGAACTGCTTAGGACGGTGTTTCTTGTGGTTTCATCTTGGGTTTGGGGATGAAATCAGAACCAGGGGCTGGAGTGCTGGTCCTGGCTTTCTGGCTTTCAGCTCCCTGCCTGGGAAATGGATGGAGGTACAGCCTGCCCTGCTGGGATGCACAGCCCTGATCCCTCCAGGACTCTGGCTGCCCACGGAATGGACCCCAATTCCCGCCGTCCTTACTCGATATCTTTGGGATTCGGATCTGTTCGCTGCTGCTGCCGTCGCCGCCGTCGCTGACGGGCCGGATCTCGATGATGTAATCCTCGTCCAGGGGCAGGGACAGCTCCACCGAGGTTCTATTGGTTTCTATCACAGATGTGCTGCTCTGCCTGTTCCACCTGTACAGAACCTGCAGGGGAGGGAGAGAGAACAGGGGGCAGAAAGGGCAGGGCCTGAGCCTGTCCAGAGTTGCCGCTGCTCTTTTCCTGCCCCTGACGCTGGACATGGTCTGGTCACAGAGGGGACACGTGGGATTTGCTGGGGACCCAGTGCCAGGTCAGGGAGGTGACAGTGGGAGGAGGGTGGTGCTGATGCACAGCATCAAACACAGCACTGATAGCTGGTGCAGCCCCTCAGCAAAAACCTGTACCTTCACCAAGCTGAAATAACCCCCTGTATAAGCACCGACTTATTTACAGAAGTCAGAAACTTATTACATTTCTTCAGGAAACTGAGTTGGAACATTTCATGCAGTGCCACCAACAGCTCCCCAGAATAAATGACTTTTGTGAATGACCTTCTGAGATCCCAGAGTTCTATTAATTTACATCATAAATCGTGAACACAAAAATATAAGATTTCTAGGAAAAACCAAGAAAAACCAGGCAATGTTTTGCTATGATTCAGGAAGAAACCCATCTGGCTCTGCTGTCCTAACAGCAAGTTGAAAGAGGACGTTGCAAAAACCCACTAGATGCAGTTTGCTTTTTCGGGGTGTCAAGTCTCTCTTTCCCTCTTTCAAATGACTTCTTAATTTGCATTTCAAAGATAAAATATGTAGCGAAAAGTTGGTCCAGATTGCCAAGGTTCATCTGAGGTTTGGACTAAAAACCCTGAGGAATTACTCCTTTTTGATAAGCCCATGCAGTGCACCAAAGATACTTAAAAGTTAGTGCAGAAATTCAGGAAAGCTGGCACAGGCTCCTCAAGCTGATGCTGCTGGCATTCCAAACTGGGAACAAAACACTAAGCATGGCCAGGTCCTTCACTGTCTCAGGCTCTGGGGGGGAAAAGGTTTGCCCCACACAACCCCCAGGGCAACGTCTGGAAATTGAACACCAACATCTTCTCTGGGCCAAATGAAGCCCTTGTGTGAGGTGATGGAGCTGAATTCCTCCCAGGACTTCTCTCTGGTTAAATTATATCCCATTAAAACTGCTACTAATGAGGATTCTCTTCCTTCTCCTTTTGGCTTTGCTTTCTGAAGGAAATGGGAGCTATTAAAACAGCATTTTATTTATCTGCAATTAAGGAGAGAACGACAGCCTTTGGAAAGCTTTCGCCAGTGGCAGGAGAGTGGTCCTGCGGGTGGGAGCTCCAGAGGGATGAGCAGGTGGAGGTCCATGGGCTGAGACCCCCTCCCAGGGGCGAGGGGAGCAGTGGAAAGAACATGCTCACATTACATAGGCATGGCCTCCGTTTCTGGAGGAATGCCCCGGTTGTTAACCTGGAAAACCACGAAAAGCATCTTTTCTGGCCTTTCTATGAACCCCAGCTTGACACTGGGCTGGCGGCAACACTCACTTTGTAGCCCCTCACTTCTGACTCGTTGTCCAGTGCTTTCACCTGGTCCCAGTTCAGGATGATCTTGGAGTCGGACGAATTCCACATGATGTTCCCGGGGGGCTGACTCGGTGCTGCACCAAAACACACAGGGCATGGCATTACTAAGGAGCACCATTTCCCAGCTGGATCCCTCCCAGTACCACCAGAGCTGAGTCTGCCTGGAGCCCTTCCCTCTGGAAAGCCAACGAGCTGCTTCACTGATCTGTGCCCTCAAGGTCACGGGAGGAGTGACACGACACAGCGCTCTCAATGAAAAAAGGATTCAGTCAGTTGCTCGACATGCCTGAGCCAGGAAGAAAAAAAAGCCCTCTTGAACGATGAGATAAATATTTAATTTGCCTGCACAGCTGTGATTTGGGTTTTGCATGCTCTGCTTACTTAACACCGGGGAGAGCCTTCCAAAACAAAACCCAGGGAAAAGGCCGAGCCTGGGAGGGCTTGTGCAAAAAATCCTGGCAGAGGGAAGTCTGACAGCTCTGTGGGGCTCAAGAGGGTTTGAAAACAAGCGAGGGGAGCCCTGGCAGAGCCTCCCAGGGCAGAGCCCCCCGTCCCCCCAACACTCACGTGGCTTTCTGGTGGTGACGTTGACGGGGGCGCTGGAGGGGCCGGTGCCAGCCGTGTTGTAGGCCCTGACTGCCAGGTGGTACAGGGCGTTGCCCCTCAGGTTGCTGACCTTTGCAGAGGTCTGGTTGCCAACCGTCCGAATCCTTTTGGCGTTTTCTTCCTTCTCGTCGTGCCGCCAACACCTGACCTGGGAACAGAGCAGGGCCGTGCCCACCTCCATCCCCAGCACCCTCCATTCCCAGCGCTGACTGTGCCCACAGGACAGAGCCTGCATCCTGCCCCATCCCTTCCTGTTCCCTGTAGGAACCCGTCTGGCTGCAGCTCTCCCTCCCCAGGACCTCAGGCACTGCCTGCCCACGGAGCACCTCCACGCAGGTCCCCCCTGCAAGCTCTGCTCTCCATCTCCAGCCACATCACACACACACACACACACAGATGGGCCATTTTTAACCACGAGAGAGAAATCTCTGCTCGCTGAAGAGGCAAAGCAAGGCACACACGCCCCAGGACACACCAGCCCCAGGGCAGCAGGAGCAGCACCGTGGCCACTGCCTGGGATGTGTCAATGCATCTCCTCAAGGTTTGTTACTGAAGGGATCCTCCATACCTCATATCCCTGGATCCTTCCTTTGTGCTGGCTCTCCCAGGGGGGAGCCCACGAAACTTCAACGTCTGAGGCGGAAAGACTCCTGGCCGAAACAGTGGTCGGGGCTCTCGTTGGCTCTGTGTGGTTAAAAATAAAAGGAAGGCTTTTCAATTTTATGTTCAATTAGCCCCAAAGGCCAAGGGATTTATTTTCTTCACTGCACAAGAGAAGAAGCAAACAAATGTGCACATTTCAAAGCCAGGGCCTGTCAGGCTGTGCTGGGCAGCGCTGGCTCCTCTACCTAAGAAATAATATGTCATTGCTAAACTCAGCCCAGGATACCATGTACTGTAATTAGGACAAGTGGGAACATTCTCTAATCGGTGGCCATTAATTCATGCTAAATCTCGGTGGAATTCTTCCCAGATTACATATTACTTTTCCATTAATATCGAAAGATTTCATTACGATTAATGTTATTTTAATGGCCATGAAAAGAATTAATCACGGCTCGCCCTTTGTTAGGAATCGGAGCAGGGCTCAGGTATCAAAGGATACGTCAAGGTGGAAACTGAACCCTTGCAGAGCCTGGCAGGCCCCGTGCCCAGGGGAGGGGGCGGGAGGGCAGGGTGGGCTCCCCGGCTCTACCTTCCTCTGCCGAGTAGACGACGGTGACGGGGCTGAAGGAGCCTTCGCCCTTGTTGTTGTACACCCCGACCTTGACCTCGTAGGGCGAGAAGGGCGGCAGGGTCTCGTTCCTGAACACGTATCTGGCGGCGTCCGGGGAGGCCACGACCGTCTGCATCCAGCTGACGGTGCCGAAGGGCCGGAACGCCACCACGTAGCCAAAGCCACCCCCGTTCTGCAGCTCCTCGGGCACCGTCTGCGGGCAGGACAGACACAGAGGTGGCTGTGGGGAAACCTTCAGCACTGCCACACATTTGTCTCCCCCTCTGCACCCCGGGTGTTGCCCCTCAGTGCTGCTAAAGCTGCTGTTCTAAAGGGAGGTGGATGGAGTCGTGAATTATCCCATCCTGCCTGGACTAGAGCCTTTCTGCTCCTTCTCACAGGAGTGCAGCACCTCCAGGAGACACTTCTCCTAAGACCTACTCCACCTTCCTCTACTGACTAGATGGAGCCTCTGTCAATGATCTAATTTTAGGCACTGCCATGACTAAAAGTCTGAGGTTTGTTGGGGTGAACCAAGGACATGGTTCCTGCTTTCCCATGTGCAGCTGCTCTCATGCCTTTGGAATCGCATGTGAAGCCCTGAAGAACATCCTGGACACGCTGACACTCCCTACTCTCAGGCTGTCAGCCCCCTAAAAAGCTGCATTAAACCAAAAGTATTAAAATAATCCCTAATTATGGGCCACTGTCCCACAGAGGTGTTGCTGAAGCAGGTGGAGGGGTTACTGCTGCTGATTGCTGCTTACTCTGGATTGTAAGGCCACAGCAGCCCATAAAGGAAAGGCCTCTGGACATCTAAGCCAGTAAAACGACAGTTCCATCAAAACACAAATTATATTTTGTGCAAATTACGACTCAAACCAATGTCCGATGTTCTTGCCATGTGTGTTTTTGAAACATATTGCAGCATCTTTAGGAGACACGGCGTAGCTAATTAGTCCAACAGAGGAGGAAATTTAGCACATTGAGCCGTGTGGCGAGGACAAAAACCCATTTATAGGTTTTTAATAACCTTAAAAATATCTCTGGCGATTCATTCTGCCAGCTTGGTCAGAAATAGTGCTAAATGGAAGTGTTAGCATGGCTGGTGAAGTTCATTATTAGGAAAAAATATGCCAGCTGCATCGCATCACAACAGGGAAATATGAGCAGACAAATGACTAAAGTTCTAACCCCGTGTGCCTCACGGAATATTAAACATTTTTCATCTCCGTAGCTCCTCGTGCTGGCTGCCATCAGCAGCACTGAGAGCCAGCCTGCCTCGTGCTGGCTCTTAACTGTTTGCTGCCTGACATCCCATACAGGGTGAGGGATGAACTGAACCAGCCAGACTGGTTTTTTTCTTACTGCAAACCTTTTGAAATCTCCAGAAGCTTCGCTGGACTCTGGGTGAGACTCACCTCCCAGGTAATGACCAGCTCGGACTTGCTCCCTCCACCTCCACTGACATTAGCTGGGGTCACTTCAGGAACTGCAAACAGAAAGATGCAGAGGATAAATGTGGCAACTTTGCCAGCAGAAAAGCACTCTGAGGTGGAAGAGACCTGAGCAGTGACAGGACTCTGCTGCCCTTCCCCTGCTGAAACCAGGAATGCCATTAAAGTGACTAATTTGCCACGGCAAACAGCACATTAAAAGTATGTCAATACCGGTATATTAAAAGTATGTCAATTAACTTGTGTATTCAGTCTCTAATTGTTTAGTTTAAACATTTATCTTCCATAAAGAGGGGTTTTTATTTATTTTCCTATTTCATATTCGGTCCCATTAGGGGCTAAACCAGAACAGAGCAGCCACCTGCCAAAGGGTTTCCCATGACTGAGGCACCTCTTGGCACTGGGGAGCGCTTACTCCACCAGACTGAAGTCTGTTGCCCACCACCACTTACGAGCTTCTTCAGTTCTTCTCTTCTCCGAGGGCCTGCTGGGCTCCCCGATGCCGATCAGGTTGGCGGCCACCACTCGGAACTCGTACTCCACCCACGGGTTCAGCCCCACCACCGTGGCCGTGAACGTCCTGCCATCGATGACCTCTGGAACTGGAGACAGCCATGAGTCAAGAACGCAAGGAAAGCCACTAAAATATCCAAAATCTGATTTCCTTAAAAAAAAAAAAATCTGATTTCCTTAAAAGTGAGCGTTTAACGTAACTATGGAGCGAATAAGGACTGATAAACCTCTTGTCATCTCTCTAACTGCAAAGAGGTCCAAGAGGTAGCATTCAAATGCTGTGTTTCTAGCCCAGAAATTCCTGCCATTAAATAGTTTCTCCTCAATTGCCACTGTTTGAAAACAAAGTGTCAAGACAACAGGTTTAAAGTGTTTTTATTTTTCTCTTTTTAAAACACACCGTTCCCTCTATTTAATGGTGACTGGAACAAAATTAACCTCTGACGGAATGAGCAATTACATCATGGGATTTTTCCCTCTATCAGGGAAATAATTCCCCTTTAAGATAGGCCAGATGACACGGGCTGTCCCTGAGGGATGTCTTTATAGACCGCAATTACTGTTGTATATCTCCAGCGCGGCAACAAAGGATGGGAATTCATTCTGTTTTCCCTTAAACATTCATGAGAAAAATGGATGAGGAACAGCCCTGACTGGACCCTAAATCTTTGGGTTGCCAAACCTGAAACTGGTTAATAAGAGCAGTGCTCTGCAGCCAAGGAAATTGCTGCTCCCACCAGGGAGCAGGGCCGGTCCGCGTGCGGATGCCGATGGATGTGTTTTCCAGCGGCGGAGCTCTGAGGGGCCGGCTGATGGATTTACCTGTGCTCACTGCTTGCCAGCCCACCGAGAAGGGGGTCCTTGCTTGCACCACGTACATGGTGATGGGGCTGTGGTTGTCAGCCCCCGGTCTCCAGGACAGCTGGGCCGTGGTGTCCGTCACCTCGTCGATCGTCACGGCCTCGGGGGGCCCTGGGGGACCTGGGGGGGCATTGCAGGACAGGTTGGGTGAGGTGGTTGAAGTGGTGCAAGGGGTCATCTTCCCTTACTCAGGACAGAGAAGACCCTGCAGAGGAGTCAGTGCAGCCCCAGCTCCCATTGCCTGGGTGAGACTGGGGGGCACTGGGGAGATGCACCAGCACCACGGCCAGGGAGAGATCAGCATGTTCTGCGTCACTGCTGGGTTCCTCTTAACCAGTGAAGGCAGCAGGACACCAGTCAGGGAGAGACCTCTCTCCTCTATCACATGGCCATTGCTCCTGGAGTGGTACCTGAGGTGCAGCCTCTTCCCATCCCAGATAATCCCAGAATGGTTTGGGTTGGAAGGGACCTTAAAGATCATTTCATTCCACACCTGCCACGGGCAGGGACACCTTCCACCAGCCCAGGGTGCTCCAAGCCCCGTCCAACCTGGCCTTGGACACTTCCAGGGATCCAGGGGCAGCCACAGCTTCTGTATTTTACCACCTTCACTATTTTTAACAAGTGACAAGATCAGTATTTTATCATCACCAAGGGTCATTTTCTTGTGAGAATTTAATGTTCTGCTGTTTGTTTACAGAGGCAGCACTAAGGAAATTACCCAATCGAGGTGCCTGGAGCAGCCTCTGTTGAAATGTTTGAGCTAAACAACAACAAAAAATTCACCTGAAATCATGCTGCAGCAAGGGAGCTCTCCTCCTGTAAGTTTCCTGAGAACTTACATGGAAGACATGTGAGAGGACAAGAGCTAACAGCCTCAAGTTGTGCCAGGAGATGTACAGATTGGATATTCAGGAAAATTTCTTCATGGAAAGGGCTGCAAAGGGCAGTGGTGGAGTCCCCATCCCTGAAGGGATTTAAAAGCCATGTGGATGTGGCACGTGGGGACATGGTTTAATGGTGGCCTTGGCAGTGCTGGGGGAGTGGTTGGACTCATGGTCTTAGAGGGTTTTTCCAACCTAAATGGAAAATCACCCAATCAAGGGACAGAGCAGCACCAAAGTTTGCTTTCCCCAAAGTCAACAAGCAAGAAAATATATATAATATTTATTGTCAGGATGCAGACTCGGGGTAACTCGTTGCAGCTCTGTTAAAGTCACACTTACACATCACCTGTGCATGGCAATGAATCGATCTTGCAACAGCAATGAAGTTACTAAATCACGTTTATCCCAGAAAAGGAACAATATTACTTGGCAAAAGTGCAGTGAATAACCTGGATGCTGCTTCTGCTGCACAGTTCATCAAACAA